GAGGAGGAGGAGGAAGGAAGGAAGGAAGGAAGGAAGGAAGGAAGAGTAAAGAAAGAAAGGAAGGAAGAAAGGAAGAAAGAAAGAAAGAAGGAAGGAAGGAAGGAAGGAAGGAAGGAAGGAAGGAGAAAAGAAAAGAAAAGAAAAGAAAAGAAAAGAAAAGAAAAGAAGAAAAGAAAAGAAAAGAAAAGAAAAGAAAAGAAAAGAAAAGAAAAGAAAAGAAAAGAAAAGAAAAGAAAAGAAAAGAAAAGAAAAGAGAAGAGAAAAGAAAAGCTATTCCTGTAAAGGAGACCAAAACTGGGAAAAAAAAAAAACCGGGATTATATGAAAAAGTAGAAATGAGGTAACTAATGTGGTAGGCATCATAGGTTAAATGAAAGGACAGAGTATTAAAATTCACTCTTATGAGTTCTTTTGAGGTTCTATACTGACTGTTCTACTACTGCTAGCATTTACTGGGATGATAAAACCTTTCTCTGTCTGGCAGGTCTAAAGAGTTTTTGGCAAAAACGAAAGATATTTTAAAAGGAGAGCAAAGAGAGGGTAGGTGGATAAAGTCTGTGTGAGATAGTTTGGGCTCTCCCATAACGTCTCCCCCGCTCCAAATGTTAAGGCCCATTCAGTGTCTACTCTATCCTATCATTAAAGGTGCAGATATTTAAAATGAGCATGTTGTTAAGAATAAACAAAAGTAAGTATAATTTTAAACATGTCAAAATATTTCACTTTTCCTAGCTAACATGCTAAGTACACTCAAAATGTAATGGACTTCTTATACAGCCACATACCACTATACATGTAAAATCACAGAGATCAAGAGGAAGAAGAAAACAAGTCCAGAATAGTAAGAAAAGGTTACTACATAAGAAGGAATGTTGGAACTAGGAGCCTAAAAAAAAGCCTCATAGTATGAAAGTTTCTGGGGCTGGCGCTGTGGCTCACTTGGTTAATCCTCCACCTGCGGCCCCAGCATCCCATATGGGCACCGGGTTCTAGTCCCGGCTGCTCCTCTTCCACTCCAGCTCTCTGCTGTGGCCCAGGAGGGCAGTGCAGTGGAGGATGGCCCAAGTGCTTGGGCCCCTGCACCCTCATGGGAGACCAGGAAGAAGCACCTGGCTCCTGGCTTTGGATCGTGCAGCACTGGCCATAGAGTGGCCATTTGTGGAGTGAACCAACAGAAGGAAGACCTTTCTCTGTCTCTTTCTCTCACTGTCTATAACTCTACCTGTTCAAAAAAAAAAAAAGTTTCTCAGCACAGAAGGCAAACGGTATGACGGTATGGTATGCATCACAGTATACTGCCACGATGAAGATGCAGCTTAGTTTCGTGGAACAAATGAAAGGCCAGTAAGGTACAATTTGAATTTCATCATGAAACTAACCTCAATTTCACGAAGTTTAGCTCGCTTTTCCTCACTCATTTCAGAGTACTTGGAGAACTTGGACTCAGTCATTTCTTCTTTGATTGGATTAGAGTATAGGTGATGTTCTTCAGATTTAGAACTTTGAGTATCTTCTTCATCTTCACTTTCTTCTTCTTGACTTTGGAAATAAGCAAAACACATCGTGTGTCAAAGAAGCAAAAATAAATAAATAAATGAATAAATCCCCCCCAAAAACCTCCACTGTGTCACATTTTATAGTTTAGATATCTTATTTTTCACTTTGAGTCTATATAATATTAGCAAAGCATAAGAAGACAAAAGTTTTTACAAAATATTTGATCAAATATTTTTCTATTTGGTAAAACTTGCTTTTTCCATATAAAAAGTTCAAGCTTCAACATATTCATACTTTAATAAATTCTGCCAATATTAGTATTATCACAAGCCACTGCTTGTGATACCAGCATCCCATATTGAAACATCAGTTCCAGTCCCAGCAGCTCTGTTTCTGATACCTGTTAATACACCTGGGAAGTAACAGACAATGGCCCAAGTATTTGGGCCCTTGCCTCCCATGTGGGAGACTAGGATGGAGTTCCTGGCTTCAGCCTGGCCCAGACGTGGCTGTTGTAGAATTCTGAGGAGTGAATTAGTGGGTAGGAAAGTTTTCTGGAGCCGGTGCTGTGGTGTAGTGGGTAGGGCTGCCAACTGTGACACTGGCATCCTGTATGGGTGCCAGTTCATGTCAAGTCTGTTCCACTTCCAATCCAGCTCCCTGCTATTGTGCCTGAGAGGGCAGCAGAGGATGACACAAGTGCTTGGGCCTTGCACTCATGTAGGAGACCCAGGAGAAATTCCTGGCTCCTGGCTTCAGCCTGGCCTAGTCCTGGCTGTTGTGGTCATTTGGGGAGTAAATTAGCAGATGGAAAACCTGTACGTCTCTCCCTGTCTTTAACCCTGCCTTTCAAAAATAAATAAATAAATAAAATAATAAAATGAGTTAGAACACTTTTAGCACCTAGAACTGCTCTCAGTATATATAGTAAGCCCTTTGTGGGTATATAATCTGAAAAAAAAAAATTATATTTTCTCTCTCTTCCTCCCTCTCTGATGCTCTTTTGAAGAGCTTAAAAATTTTTACAAAATAAGAATATATGATAGTACATAAAATCACAAATATTTCAGATGTTTTAAAATGGTTGAAGTGTGTGTTTGTGTATTTAACAGGGATGTTTACTGAAAAATCATTTTACAAAGGGTTCATCAAGTCAAGGACATGACTTGGTTTTGGTGAACTGTGCTATCTTGGTAAATTGTGGTATCTATGTAATAGAAATTACTTAACTAATTCCAGCCTGTTACTACTTTTTTCTGATGGGGGGGATTCCAAATATTCCTAGGCAAAGGGCAAACATCCTTATACATTTATCTGCACACTTGCTTTTAACTACAGATGAATATGTAATAGGCTAATCAATGGACTGACATGGAATATCACTTTCACTTGAGTGAAAGACAAGTGACATAGAAAAGTATGAACAGTACTTTATCATTTATGCTTAAATGAATATGCATAGAAAGTATCTAGATGGCTAGGAACTCAACATTAACCATATTATCTAAGACTTTTAAAAATGAGCTATACATGGGGCTGGCACTGTGGGGTAGCAGGTAAAACTACTGCCTGCAGTGCCAGCATCCCATATGGGCGCCAGTTAGAGACCCAATTGTTCCACTTCTGATCCAGCTCTCTGCTATAGCCTGGGAAAGCAGTAGAAAATGGTCCAAACCCTTGGGTCCTTGCACCCGCTGGGAGACCCGGAGGAAGTGGGGGAGAGAACTGGATGGGAGACCTTTCTCTCTCTCTCTCTCTCACTGTCTCCCCTTCTCTCTTGTGTAATCTGAGTTTCAAAGTAAATAAATAAATCTTTAAAAAATGAGCAATACTATTTTAATAAGCTTAAATTATATACAATATATTTTTAAAATGTTAGAATTTTTCAAGGCCAAAGCTCTTATTTACCAGTTCTAGGTTTAGTATCATCACAACTTCCTCTGGCACTTCTTTTAAAATAAATGGAAATTCAAGACTACATTTACATAGGATTCATTACAAATGAGATTTTTTTGGAAATTTTTTTCCAAAGTATTTTTTAAATCATATTTTTACCAAAAATGCAGTAATTACTAGTTACAAAAAGTAGCCCTAATTAAAAAAAATTTAGATTTAGCCACTAGACAGTAGTACTGAGGCATAAGAAAAGTTCAAAAAAAAAAAAAAAGAAAAGAAAAGAAAAGAAAAGTTCAAGTAAATTTGTTACACTAAAGCTTTTTCCTTGCTTTGTACTTTCATAGTTATTTTTATTATCATGATTTACCTCATGTTTCTAGGAAAATCAAATACATGTTATACTTCTGGTGAGCCAGGCTTCTATCAGTGAATTATTGTTCCACATGAACACTAAATTGCACTCATGTATTTAAAACATTAACACAAATATCAATTTATGTAAAAAAAAAAAAAGAAAAAGAGAACTTAATACCTTCAAAACAAAACCAACTGAGCAATATATTTCAAGTCTTTGATGGTTTTTCAATCCTTCCCTACTCCTAAATCAAATAATTATTTATGAGTAATACATGCTTTTTTAAAAAGATTTATTTATTTATTATTTACACAGAGAAAGGAGAGGCAGAGAGAGAGAGAAGTCTTCCATCCGATGGTTCACTCCCCAGCTGGCTGCAACAGCTGGAGCTGTGCTGACCTGAAGCCAGGAGCCAGCAGCTTCCTCCGGGTCTCCGACACAGGCGCAGGGACCCAAGGATGTGGGCCATCCTCCACTGCCCTCCAAGGCCAAAGCAGAGAGCTGGATTGGAAGTGGAACAGCCGGGTCTCAAACCGGCGCCCACATGAGATGCTGGCGCTCCTTAACCTGCTGCGCCACTGCGCCACAGCGCCGGCAGCAGTATGTGCATTTTAAAGCTGTGATTCTAAAATGGTGAAGGTTGTGGACATAAAAAGCGTTAAGAAACCCACTGTTTTAAAACAAAACGAATGAAACTGTCCCCAATTTCTGTTCCCCTAAACAGTTTTGGAAAGCTAGTTCCATCAGCAAACCACCCATATCTTGCAAATATTCTGTCATAATCATTACTGACTTTTTCTGATCACACCAATATTGCTGGAAATACATCACTGCGGACAACTTTTCCTCATCATTCCAAACTGTGTTTCTACAACCTACTGATTTTGATCTAACTTTCTGCACAATTCAAATACTCACTTACTGAATCCACACAAATGCTCACACTGTGCTAGGACACAAAGGGACTTCCCCTTTGCTCCTTCTTCCCACAATAAAATATAAAGATTTTTTAAAACACAGAAACCTCTGTTCAGTGTTCCTGACATCATCTCTTCCAACTTTATAAAACCAATTTCTTTAGCAATGATTTAATAAAAGTCAAGTATTTCCTAAACTACCAATACAAGCTTAAACACAGCATCAAAACAAAAAGAAAATTTTAGAGTCATTACCTAAGAGTAAAAATTATTTCTTTGTACTTCAAAGAAAGGATTTTTTTCCCTTTCACTCACTCCTAGTGCTTACATTTCAGTAACAGAATGATTATAAGGCAATATTTTTCTTAGCAATGTACAATTCAACAAAAATGGGGCATAATCTTCCCACTCACATTTTAAAAACCCCTTTTTGTGGAGCCCTAAACAATATTTGATGACAAAGATTTGAAACAATGCAGTTGGTCAATTAGCAACTAAGTGAGAACGTATAGCCAAGGGGTAGAAAGTAAGCTCAAAAGCAAAGGGAAACCAGATGCATCAAAACCAGAAACCAGAAGCTCCTTATTCACAGGAAAAACAATGGAGAACTCAAAATGTTCCATTTACATGTTTTTTAAGAGTGAAGTTTTCCTCTTCACTATTATTTCAACCATACCTCTTAATGAAAAAGGGAGTGTGTGTGCACAAGAAACAGTATATTCGAAACTTAGATTCTTACTTTTGATTTTCTTCTTCTTCTGATTCTTCATGCTGGTCAAATAACTCCCATTTAGACGTTGTTACAGCTGAATGGAAGGAAAAGAGGATGTAATTCCATAAGGTATATTAGCATTTTTGCAGTAGAATTGTAGAAGCCCCTCTTTAAAACTGGAAGTTTATATTACAGAAGTTTTTTTTTTTTATCTATTCTTTGAATAGCCATTTCTACGTGCCAAATCTCTTTCCTCACACCTACACTATCATTTCCTTCAGATTCATAAAGTGATAGTGCTGTCATCCTCACTTGCATGTTGGATGTAAGATTTATTTCATTAGAACCTACAAATATTAGCAATTACAGAATATAAGCACAAGGCCAAATAAATGTGACAGGCAGATCTGAATTGCATCTACTAAGTGTTATGGGAGGGTCAAAACTTCGTTTCTCTGAAGCTAACCTCTAAATAGATTTCCAAACAGGAACAGCTTCCTGGCTACAATTTCTATTAAAATGCCTTAACTGGGAGGTTTTCAGAGATTTCTCTGATTATTCTCAAAGCTTCCAAACAGAAAGATCTAAGAAAATTATTAACAGTAACACCAACCACAATGAAATCTTACACTAGACACACAGTAACATTGGATCTTAATGCTGTTAAAACGCTGCAAAACATAAAAGGTCAATGTACATAGGCATGTGTGCACACACATATCCCTCGATGATTATTGGTATTTAATTTTAAAAGCATACCCATTATCAATTTATAAGTACTTAATTTTTTAAGATTTAACATTTATTGTACTTTTACTCACCCTGTGCTTCCAATTCAGATTCATCTACAGCTTCCCACTTTGAAGGGGCAACCTTAAATATAGGTTCATTCTTCTTTGAGTCTTCAGCTGCATCCACTATTAGAGAAAGAAGAGCCATTAACTCCAACTACTAGGGAATGATCCAAATTAATGAATTTTTGGTGCTCAGTATATTACTAAAAAAGTAAAATAAGGCCACACATAGACAAACAATAGTATCAAAAACAAGAATTTTGACTAATCCAATTCTCTGCTTTTGAGATCTAATTTTAAACATATACAGTAGTCTTCCTTTATCACGGGGGGATATTTTCCAAGAGCCCATGGGGATGCCTGAAACCTTACAAATACTATGTTTTTCTCTATGCAAACATACCCACAGTAAAGTTTAACTTAGCAGCTAGGTACAGTAAGACAGTGACAATAACTAGTAATAGAATAATTAAAGCAATATATTGTAATAGAAGTTATTTAACAGATATGAATTATTTATTACTGGACTTATTCATTTAATATTTCCAGACTGTCATTTATAGAAAGTCAAGCTTATGGGTAAGAGAGGACTGCTGTACATATCAAGTCTGAAAATATGTTAGTAATATTTTAAGCAAACAGGGAAGTTGAGAAGTAAAAAATAACACCTTTACCTAAATGAGAACTCATGTATTTTTGTGGTATTTTAACATACAATTCAAATGTACTAAAGTGCTACGTACACTTCCTATTTCCAAAATGATTTTAAGTTGTCAGGAAAACTGAACCTGTAATCTAGGAAAACTAATAATAAAAACAGAATTAACACGGACAGGCTGAATGGTTAAGAAACCTGAGTCCCAAATCAGAGATCCTGGGCTCAACTCTCAGTCATGGCTCTGGATTCCAGCTTCCTGCTCCGGTGGACCCTGTGAGGCACTGGTTCCAGAAACTGGATTCCTGCCAGTCAGGTGGAAGATCTGGATTGAATTCCTAGCTCCCACTTCATCCCCAGCCTGATTCCAGCTGTTGTGGGCATTTGGGGAATGAACCAGCAGATGGGAGACCTAGACTAAGTTCCTATATCCCAGCTTCGGCTTCTGTCCTATCTCAGCTGTTACAGGAACTTGCAGAGTAAACCAACAAATAAGAGCTCTGTCTTTCCATCTAACTACCTGTCTCTCAAACAAACAAAAAATTTTCAAAAGCAGAAACTGGTAAAACCAGGGACCTAGGATTATGACTATAATTTAACACAAAATTTTGCCTATAATTTCCTAGCAGTGAAGACAAAAAGAGAAACTTGCTAATATTATTAAAAGGCTGACTGTCCCAACCAACAAAGAAGTGTAAGCAGAAAAAAAGTCTTTTCTTTGGCACAAATATTAAAGGGTATCTAAATTTTGACAAGACAGGAAAAAGAGAGGCTGGGGCTGTGGCTCAGCAGGTTAATGCTCTGGCCTGAAGTTCCGGCATCCCATATGGGCACTGGTTCTACTCCCAGCTGCTCCTCTTCTGATCCAGCTCTCTGCTCTGGCCTGGGAAAGCTGCAAAAGATAGCCCAAGTCCTTGGGCCCCTGCACCCACATGGGAGACCCAGAAAAAGCTCCTGGCTCCTGATCGGCACTGCTCCGGCCGTTGTGGCCTATTGGGGAATGAACCATCGGATGGAAGACCTCTCTTTCTCTCTCTGCCTCTCCTCTCTCTGTGTGACTATGACTTTCAAATACATAAATAAATCTTAAAAAAAAAAAAAAAAAAGGCAAGAAAAAGTAACTTGAAACCATCAGCAATTAAGACCTTTTCCCACATCAACATGTGTGGAAATGGATGAATTTTGGTAACTAAACTTTAGTAGCTAGATTTCATCAGTTTAAAACTTGAACTTACAAGGCACTCCATCAAGATCATCATCAAGACTTTTTATCGGAACTCCATCAAGATCATCAATGGGAGTAGCATCAATAGGAATTCCATCCACATCTTCCAGGGGTGCACCATCAAGCTCTTCCTCAATGGGGGCACCATCAAGGTCATCTGGTACATCCTATAGAAACATACTACTGTAACATTTTCCCTTGCTTGATACAGGATTAATTTGCAATCTACAAGCCATCCTGGTTAGATACCCACATTCCCTGGTACAATGTAAGGACATGTTAAGATTATTTTATCATTCAGACTGCCAAAGAAAGTCATCTATTCACTTATTTATCCAATGTTTACCCAGTGCTTATTGTGCCATGTATTATGTGAATGAATCATGACAAGCAAAAACTGGCTTAGCCCACCACCAATGAATGTAGTAAAGGTTTTTGTTGTTGCTATTATTGAGTGTGGGGTGGGGTACAGTGAGCCGGGAAATAGCATGATCCAAACAATGTAAGTGCAACTATAATAAGTACTACAACAAAGAGGTATATTATATGATTAGAATGTTTAATAGTAAGTTTCACTTAGATAGGTTAGAGATGGTGCTCTGAGGTTAATCTAAGCTAATATACAAAAAATCCTCAACTTTGACGGTTTTACACTTTTCTAATTTTACAATGGTGTGAAAGTGACACACATTTTAGTATAAACCATATTTCAGATTTTTAATTTTTCCCAGCCACCCACTGACCATGAAGTTAAGTAAACAATCAACACTACAGTGCACTGTGTTGCCAGTGTTTTCTGGATATAGGCATTCAACAAATCACATGACATACTCAATACTTTATTTAAAAGTAAACTTTTTCTGGGGCCAGTGTTGTGGCATAGCCAATTAAGCTACAGCCTATGAAACCTGCTCCAGTTCAGAATCCTGAATGCTCCACTTCCAATCCAGCTCCTTGCTAATGTGCCTAGGAAGGCAGTGGAGGATGGTTCTGTAACTTGCCTTCCAAATAAATAAATAAATCTTTTAAAAAATTAAGTAGGCTAGGCTAAACTATGTTGGTTTATCAGAATGTAACCCCATCCCAAGTTGAGAAGCAACAGTATACAACAGTATACATCTTTTCATAAAATCAAACAAAAAACCAATTGCCAATTTTCCTAAAAGAATGCAAAATAGAGTTCCTGTTAGATGTAATTTCAACTCCTGGGATCCAGAAATTTCAGCAAAAAAATCCATGATGTAATGGTAAAAATAGCTATTTCTCAAAAAAAGGTTACTTACAGACATGGGTCCTTCAAAAACATCACAGAAAATGGGTATTATGAAAAATCCACGTGTGGATTTCAAAAATTTTTGCACCAAAACATACTTTTTAGTCCATTTTTTAATAAATTTGTCCACAAATTTTTTGAAATATCCACATATGTAACTTATCATGGCTTCAGAGCACTCCTCGCCCCAAAAACATTTTTAAAAGCACATACAATGAATGCATACCTCTGTTTCCTTTTCTTCAATAATATTTACAAGTCCTAAGAAAATATTTTGTAGTTTGATCAAAAATGGTTCTGGATATATTGCCCAATCTTCCCATGCTCTGAAGCAGGTCATTACCCGTTGCTGAATTAGAAACAGACAATAAATTATTATTTTGAGCAATATGCCTCAAACCTCATCTCATGAAAATTGTTATAATCTAAATTTTCCTTTAAGCTAACATCTTTCTTAAAATGGTAAGAAAATAATTATCATTACCATGTTTAAAAGAATTTGTCATCTTCCAATTAAAAGAAAAACATTAACCTCCAAAAATAATGAAGAAACAGTAAATTTTGCTCTTTACTACAATAAGTCAACTCCCATCCCATTAGTACTAAACATGAGCCACATTCTGGGAAACATTTACATAAAATCTTATTAAAGCTGGAAATCAAAGTAGCCAAGTTTTAACCTGAATCCCTTTATGGTCCAATGCTTACTTCCTAATTCTGGCTGACACCTTTCTCTGTCCTTACCAGGAATTGTTTTGAATGTTCTAACTTAGGGTCAGATTGTTAGAGGTCAAAATTGTTTTTTAATGGAGTGGTACGAAGTCCCTCAAATGACGAGGACACTGGACATATTCCCAAAAATTTCCTTAAAAAAAAAATCTCATCATGAAGAATTTTAATTTACTCAATTATAAGACGCTTTGTGGCTTTGTCTGACTTTTCTTAACACTGGTCTACAGCTTTTAAAAATTATAAAGAGTCACTGAACACTTTCTAAACATATATAACTAAAATGTATATCCCCAAATCCAGCCAAACTATACATACCATCAGAAAACAAGTAGTTTTCCCACTGTTTTTTGAAAATATTTAAGATAATCAACACTTAAAACTGAACAAAATAACACTAGTTAGTATATTTTAAAATTTCAAGCATTTTTGATAATGAAATGAAAATGGAATAATCTCAAAATAGTAATTTCTAAGATATCCAAGTTTTTATTGAAGTGGTTTTATGTACCCTTCTAGCTCTCCAATGCCCTCCCCATCTGCCTGTTTAAAACACTAGGGCAAAAGAGTAAAATACACATACCTTAAAGTTTTCAGATTGTAAATGGCCTTGAATTGTACGATAGGTAGCATTGAGGTCTGAAAATATCTGACATAATTTTGTTTCAAAACTGAAATTTAAACAATACATTCTTTAAAATAGAATTTACGTAAAAATCCACATCATCTTCAGCATGCTAGCCACTGAAAACACCGCCGGGACTTAAAAATCAAGTTAATCAAGAGAGTCTTGAAAATCAAGAACTAGGAGTTTAAACTTTAAATCCATAACTGAATTGCTTTTACTCCCATTATTCTAGATTTCTCTTATTACCATACATCTAGGAATAGTTTCAAGCCATGTAGTTTACCTTCTTTGTCTTACAAGAAAGATAAAAGTGGCTTTTCCAAAAAACTAGCTGAACTAAGAGGAATTATATTTTGAAATTTGTTTTGCTGAATCTAATCCATAAAATAAATCCAGAAGGGAAAACCAAGGAAGAATTACATGTCATTACATTACAATAATGTCCTATTGCCTCAGCTGAAAACATTAACAATGGACTACAATTTTGGGGCCAGCGCTATGGCTCAGAAGGTTCAAGACCCAGTTGCTCCACTTCCCATCCAGCTCTCTGCTGTGGCCTGGGATAGCGGTAGAAGCTGGCCCACGTCCTTGGGTCCCTGCACTTGCATAGGAGACCTGGAGGAAGTTCCCAGCTCCTGGCTTCAGATCGGCTCAGTTCCAGGCACTGCAGCCAACTGGGGAGTGAAAAAACAGATGGAAGACCTCTCTCTCTCTCTGCCTCTCCCCTCTCTGTGTAACTCTGACTTTCAAATTAATAAGTAAATCTTTAAAAAAAAAAAAAAATGGACTGCAATCATATAATTTTTTTTCAATATAATGTTGATCAGAAGAGAACGCAGATTATATTTCTACAGTTAATGCTATATCTTTGGTCTCTTATTTTTGCTATTATTTATATCATTTATTTATTATACAAGAGTATTTATTTATAAAAGTTTGTGGAAAATGAAATTAAGGTTGTTTATTTTGGCACAAAAATTTTTAAGGTCTATGCACTGTGATTTTCTATACCCTTCTACAAACTTCTTAAAATACTCTCATACAATGCACTAAAATTAGGAAGGCATTTTGGCAAGCTGCTTGGGATACCTACATCCAGAGTGCCTAGTATGGTGTCTCACTTCTACTTCCTATCCAATTTCCTGGTAATGTGCCTGGGAGGCAGATTATAATGGCCCACATACTTGGGTCCCTGCCACCCGCATTATAGATTCAGATGGAGTTCTAGGTTCCTAGCTTCAGCAGATCTAGATGTATCTACCCATCTATCTCTCCCTCCCACCACCCACATCACTCTATTCTGCTTATCAGATAAGCATAAATTTAAAAGAAAAAAGTTATTTTTGAGTCCATCTATTTGTTCTGTAGTCAATCATTATGAAAATGAAAAAATAAAATATCTAGAATACTGATAATTTAGCACAGTGGGCTAGTTCAATGAATACAAGTCAATTTTCTTTTCTTTTCTTTTTTTAAGATTTATTTATTTGAGAGGCAGAGTTACAAACGGGGAGACACAGAGAAGAGAGAGGCCTTTACCCACTTGTTTGCTCCCCAAATGGCCACAACTGCCGGAGCTGAGCTAATCCAAAGCTAGGATCCAAGAGCTTCCTCAGGGTCTCCCATGTGGGTGCAGGGGCTCAAGCTCCAGTGTATTCCCAGGCCATTACCGAGGAGCTGGATCATAAATAGAGGAGGGGGCCAGCACTGTGGAATAGTGGGTAAACCCGCCGCCTGCAGTGCCAACATCCCATTTGGGAGTCAGTTCAAGTCTCAGCTGCTCCACTTCTGATCCAGCTCTCTGCTATGGCCTGGGAAAGCAGAAAATGGCCTAAATGCTTGGGCCCCTGCACCCATGTGGTAGACCTGAAGGAAGCTCCTGGCTCCTAATCAGCCCAGCTCCAGCCATTGAAGCCATCTGGGGAGTAAAACATTAGCTGGAAGACCTCTCTCTCTACAGCTGCCTCTCAAAAAAAAAAAAAAAAAAAGTGGAGCAGCCAGGACTCCAGCCAGGACTCTAACTAGTGCCCATATGAGATTGCCAGCAACTCAAGTAGAGGCGTAACCTACCACAGCACAGTGCTGTCCCTACAAGTCAATTTTCAAAAAAAATTCTACAGCCTATAAAAAAATTATTTTTCACTGTTAGATAGTCTTAACAAAACAATCTTCCTTTCTGAATTTCTTACCCTTAAATCTTTATTTCAAGAACATTAACTTACATCATTATACTTACAATTTTCTATAATATGAAGCATTGGCAACTTTGGCTGAAGAGTTGTACAAAACATCAGAAACCAAATATAATCTGGCAATCTGTAATACCAAAAGATAACATAAAATGTATCAAAAATAAGAACCACAGGCTAATAACATGGCTAGAAAAAATTCTGTATTGTTGTTTCTTAATAAAGCTAATGCTTAACTATAACTTAATCATTACTAAGTGGAAGAATTATGTGGAATTCCGTATCACAATCATGCCATTGGCAAGAATATTATCTGTTAACTGATTTACATTTCAACTTGTTGATGAACTGTGTATCAATGAACAAAGCAGTCTTCCTAGCAGAAGGAAAAGAGAACTACAGAGGAAAGGCTTCGTCAAGTTGCTCATACAAAAAGGAAACCAATTCCAACCCCAAATAAGTCACTGTCTCACATTTTTTAATTAAACAAACGCTCATAAAATGCTCATAAAAGTGGGCAGGTTTTCACCTCTCCCTGTGCCTTCACTACCTTTCTGCTTGTCAGATGGATAAAGATTTTTTAAGTTCATAAAGAAAAATCATTGCCATACCTTTTTAGGAAGGGGTGTCTTTAAGATGGACAATGACTCAGTGATGCAATCCACTATTTCTTCAGCAGCTTCAGCATTATTAAGACAGAAAACCATTGCATCTCCAATATCATTTTTCCTTGGAGTTAATCCTCGCAAGATTTCTTCTAATTTGTCCCTCTGTCTGAATATACATTTTTTAAGCTCATAAATATTTATACAGATTTCAAAGTCATTATAACTTCTGCTCGCAAATTAATTTCTTTAAAGCTCAGATAAAATAATTCTGAAAACTGAATTGTTAAGCCTCTCAAATTTGTTACAATTTTTTAAAGGACTTATACTGAGAAGAATACTTTGCCCTGAACTAATAAAAGATTCCAGTAGTATTTTTAGCTTACAAATTAAGTAAACATAAAATGTGTAGTTTTTCAATAGTATTTGAGGAAAGCCCCAGTTCTTTCATCCCACTATATTGAAGAAGAACCTTCATGCTCTTTCATCCCCTTCCTTAGAAGAAGTCTATTACTTTACTATTTCTGCATGGAATTAGGACAGCTACTTTTTCTGTAAAGGAGAAGATAATACAATTTTACTTATAAAAACACAAGGCAGGCAGATTTGGCCCATGGGTTAAGTTTGTAGACTCCTAGCCAAAAGTGATAATGAATATTCATTTTGAGAAACAAATACAGTTAATTACTAGAGTTCTCCATTAGCAAATGTTCTCACACACAAAGCATTTTGTTTTTTGAAATTTATCAGTGACCTTTCTTGTCTTTCTCATAGAAAAAAAATTCTATGACTTTTAAAATGAAATTAGGTTGGCATGAAGCTATACTTATTCCTCCTCCACATCGAAACTACTTTCTATGAAGGAGCATATGCTTCCCTCACCTCCACCTGCACTGAATGAGCACTAATAATAACCTACGTTGCCATGGTGGCTATCTCACAGCCCATAACACACTGTAAACTCTATGCAGAGCCTTTGCATAGTCAACATCAGACCCCACTAGCCAGACAGCAACTTATCTTCCTTATGTTACATTCAGAGAGGCAAGGATTCTAAGGGTGCCCAGATAATTTCTGCAAGAATCTGAAGTATCTCAATGCCAAACAAAGAAGTTAGCCATGTTTAAGAGATCAGAATTAATTTTATCAGAAGGCAGAAGTCAAAGCCAATAGGATACATCCTTGTATTTGTCAAGATGGTTAAAATTATAAAACCTACATGAAAGATGTTACTAAGCATTCTACACTAAAGAAAAAAAAAATTACCTCAGGGTTAAAATCTTAGCAAGACCATTAACTAAAGCAATCATCAAAGAAACTTTTCTGAATATATAACAGAAAGGAAAAATATCTTACTCTTCCTTAAGTGCTCCCTTTTTACTAGGCTCCTCCACAAAAGCTTCTGTTTCTTGCTCTTCTGACATCCCATGCAGGTAGGGATTTAATGGTGGTGGCCTCCAAAAAGACCCATTTTTGAACATACGAAAATCTTCTGTCCGCCACTTAGTTGGAGAATCTCCCTAATAAATATCCAGAAGTTATTAGAGATGTCTAATAACTCAGAGTTAAAATTAACAAATAAATGATTCTACTTGCCTGCAGAATAGAGTAAAGCTTCCACCTATAGTAAACATGGGCTGGTGTCTGGTTTTCAAATAAGAACCTAAATAAAACAAACACAAAATTAGACATCATATTCTCTAAGAGCTATCTTCAACAAAGTATAAATAAATGAGAAACAGTATTTGCCTATTTGGTTCTAAATAAATCCAAAAGTAAGAATTCCCAAAGGGAAGTTCTTACCCACTGCCATCCACTACATACTCCCTCATGGCCCCAGCCCCATGCTACTAAGTGAATGGCATTCATATTCAGAAAGCATGCATCTTGCTGCATCTTAGACTCTATCAAACACTCGGGTCAGACACTGTGTCTGCTATGGGGAGATTTTCCCTAATATATAATCTCAAAAGCAGTGGTTTTACACTATTCAGTGTTAAATTGGTGCCTCAGATACAACAACAATTTCCTGTACAATTAATTTTTTTATTTTTATTGACAGGCAGAGTTAGACAGTGAGAGGGAAACACAGAGAGGAAGGTCTTCCTTCCGTTGGTTCACCCCCAAAATGGCCACCACAGCCAGCGCGCTGGGCTGTCCCAAAGCCAGGAGCCGGGTACTTCCTCCCAGTCTCCCATGCGGGTGCAGGGCCGAAAGACTTGGGCCATCCTCCACTGCCTTCCCGGGCCACAGCAGAGAGCTGGACTGGAAGAGGAGCAACCGAGACAGAATCCGGTGCCCCAACCGGGACTGAAACCTGGGGTGCCGGTGCCGCAGGCAGAGGATTAGCCAAGTGAGCCGCGGCGCCAGCGTATACAATTAATTTTGTTATGTTACTTATGAAGATACTTTCATTAAAATGCGTAATGAAAAATATTTTCCTTCTAGAGAATGCTGAAAATAATGCTATATAACTAAATAAAAATGTGGTGGGTGGGGGGAACTGGCGCTGTGGCATAGCAGGTAAAGCACTGCCTGCAGTGCTGGCATCCCATATGGGCGCTGGTTCAAGTCCCAGCTGCTCCACTTCCGATCCAGCTCTCTGCTATGGCCTGGGAAAGCAGTAGAAGATGGCCCAAGTGCTTGGGCCCCTGCACCTGCATGGAAGACCCAGAGGAGGTTCCTGGCTCCTGGCTTCAGATCGGCACAGCTCCAGCTGTTGCGGTCAATTAGGGAGTGAACCAGAGGACAGAAGACCTCTCTCTCTGCCTCTCCTTCTCTTTGTGTAACTCTGACTTCCAAATAAATAAATAAATCTTTTTTTTTTTTAAGATTTCATTTATTTATTTGAGAGGTAGAGTTACAGACAGAGAGAGAGGTCTCCCATCTGATGGTTCACTCCCCAGATGGCCATAATGGCTGGAGTTGAGCCAATTTGAAGCCAGGAGCTAGGAGCTTCTTCTGGGTCTCCCACGTGGGTGCAAGGACCTAAGCACTTGGGCCATCCTCTACTGCTTTCCCAGGCCACAGCAGAGAGCTGGATTGGAAGTGGAGCAGTTCGGACTTGAACCAGGTCCCATGTGGGATGCTGGCACTGTAGACCAGGGCTTTAACCCACTGCGCCACAGCGCCAGCCCCATAAATAAATCTTTAAAAAAATCAAAAAAAAAGTGATGGGAAACTGACCTAAGCACATTTTAGTCTAATTACTAAGATTGATTCTTATCCCCTTGCAAAATAATTGCATACTTTTTAGAACTTTATTCTTGGAAATATTTTTAATTCCAGAAAATAGTTTTAAAATGTACACCTAAAGATATACAAAATAGGAAATATATATGTGCATGCATAAATATATATATAAAACATACTATTCAGTCTTAAAAGAAAATCTGACATATGCTACAACATGGATGCATCCTGAAGACATTATACTAAGTGAAATAAGGCAATCACAAAAGGACACTTATATATGAATGCATTCAGATGAAGTATGTACAATAATCAAATAGTAGTGACAGGATGTAGAATGGAGTTTGCCAGGCTGAGGGGAGGGGAGAAGAGGGAGTTATTTAATGAGTACAAAATTCCAGTTATAAAAGAGGAAGAAACGAGATGGGTGTGGTCATGGTTTACACAGCGTGAATGTACTTAATACCATTGAATTGTACACTTAAAAATGATTAACAGCAAATTTTTATGTATTTTACACCAAATTTTTTAAATGCACACCTGAACATAGGATTGTTGATTTCTCTGTTCATAATCATAGCTTCAAACATTGGCCCTTCACGTACAACAAACTCTATCATTCGATGTATCAGAGCGAGCAAATTCCTACAACAACAACACAGTTAAAGAAAATGGATTCAGACCTACCACTATATAAAACTATACTTGACCTAAGTTACTATAATTGTGCAGAAAAAGATTATTCTGCTGACTAATACAGAATTCATTATCAAAATGGTAAACTGGAGCATTTGTTAATACCTTATGCATTAAGATGAAGTGGGGCAGTGGGGGTGAGGAGCAGGGGAATGGTAGGGGAAGGAAAGCTTAAGGGAGGGTGGGAAACCACAAAACCCCTCACAGTAATAAAGATTTAATTTTCTAAATGCCATTTAACTTTATTTTCCAAATGCAAAACATAAATTATGTATCACAACTAATTGGAAAGCTGCAAATATATAAAATCAGTATCTCAGACCTTGCATCTATTATAATCATCTAAAAACTTACACACTATCTCATTTTTAAAATAAAATACTCCTAATCCAAGCACTTATGTGGTGGTTTTGAAATGTTGCAACCATGACTATAATTTATAAAAATGCAGAACTACTTAACAAGTTTAAGGCCTGATTTAATAAAAAATCCATCCATCTCCTGTACTTTTCTGGCACATATATACCAGATGGAGCTTTTATTAAATTTGACCTTCAGTGAGGCAACATCCCTTTGGATCACATTTCAAACTAGTTCACGACTCATGACATGTACAATGCTGCCTGTATATTATGAAGCAATGGAAAAATTGTATTGCCAAAACATTAAGTGGAGTTTTTACTCTTTCCAAAATATTCCAAAATGGGGGACATGGTGAAATGCCCTTCCCATTTTCCATTACAACTATTTTCAAGTTTTTAAAGCCCAAATAAATATATGCAACTTTTCAGTACAGGCATTTTATTGATTGGACTCACAGAAAGCCTTTATTTTTAAAATCTGAAGGTGAGTCCTAAAATCATGTGATACCTTATTTGGCTCCAAACACAATTTCAGACAGTGATTACAATGTCAGGCAAGAATGATTCCATTTATTTATAAGCTGCTTTGGATTTCTCATCTCACCAGTCCACCAGCATACAGAGCTGGCAAATAACAATTGGGAACAGCAAAAGGATATTGGCTCTTGGTACAAGGAACACACTAAATTACACCTTTAGCATTCCCAGCTCAAATTAATTCATATAACTGCTAGAATATAAATAAATATATAGTTATAGGACAAGACAGTTTTGGCTCTATAGTGGCCTGCTTCAGAGTACATGAACAGTAAAATAATCTATCTCATGGTGACTGTACTTATTTTCTCACAGATTTCAAACAAACCTACTTAAGTGGACTCTAGAAGTGCTACATAGTGGGAAAAAATTTAAGTCTAATGAAGGTCAAAAAATTTTATGAAAGTTTAAATCTTTACAAAGGGGAAAGTATACATTTAAAACTATTAATTCAACCTCAAGTTATTAAAACCAAAAAAAAACAAAAACATGGCTTGATTTTAAACTTAATTTTTTTTCATATAAGTATTACTTGCTCTGCAAGTATGCAATTCTTAATATCCAAATTAGAAAGTATTCTCAGTATCCATGGCATTTAAAGGAAGGGAGATAATGTAAAGTTATGATTCAGTTCCAAAACTCCCACTGGTATGAGCCAAATTAAAGCTAAGGGAAATTTTATGTATCATAATATGACCAATTACTAGGTGGACAAACACTATACATCCAGAAACTTGTGTGAATTAAGTCAAAAGCAACTCAACTTCAGTATTAAGGATAGATGAAAAATGGTGCAGCAAGTTTAAAACCAAAGGATTCATTCTAATAAAATGCATACTCAAAATTTTGTTTAGAAGTAAGCTGAGCCACACATAAAGCTACAACTGGATATTGTGATTTTTTTGAATATTACAAAAATGTTCCTGTGACTGCTTTATCAGTGGAAAAAAAACCCACTATAGTTTTAAACAGGCTTGTAACTGATAAAATCTATTTTTTCTAATTTAAAGTTTAAAAAGAAGTTTTTTTAAATGTTTCATATGATTACTTAAAATCAAAATCTGACAATTAACTGTTACTAGTTTGAATTCAAAATTTTTAAAAGACTTAATCACTCTTGTTCCTTAAAAACTGCATGTTTAATTTTTATATAAAAAATGGTGGCTTTTCTACCAGAATGGAACAGTGTAGTACAAAAAGATGATATATTAAAAGTGCATTATTTTATTTTAAGATGGTAATTATCTTACTCTGGGTAACAACAACCAAAAAAATATTGTCTCTCAGTTATAATAAAACCACATTTATTGGAGTTGATCGTACCAATGTCTGGTCAAAAACTGTATACTTTCCCAATCCATCCCATGATGTTTTCCTGGTCCCCCGCTGCCGCAGACAGTTCAGCTGGTGTTGCTCACCAAGGCCAATGTCAAAGAGAATTTGGTATTCTTTTGTGTTCATTTATTATTCAACCAGTGTTGTGTTCCTGTGTTTGGGAAAAGGCTTAGCTTGACTGAGCAAGAGCATACCTAGAACATGAATGCTTCTGCTCTAACAGTATGTTGAAAAAGAAAAAACAGAAAGAAAGAAAAAAAGGGGAAATAAAAAGAATTCCAAATACCTTTGTTGTCATGAAAAAGTTTCTAGCATGTCCAGTGTTCACAAAAATAATATGATTTTCTTCTTAAAATCAATTAGAAAAAAACAAAACTATGTCTTCATTAAGGAGAGCTCAACCAAAGTTATATATTAAATGCAGTTGATTAAGAAACCAAGAAAAAATAACAGCAGATTGATTCAAACTGTAACATTATCTAAAATTTGATGAACATTTAAAACACCTACTCTCCCATAATAGTCTAACATTATTAGACCATCAACTCCAGATTAAATCTATTAAACATATTCTAACTAAAGCTATATAAGTTCCCTACACTCATTAATGGTAAAAATAAAAAAGATAATGACATAAAATTGTAAAGTATACTAAGCTAGTTAAGTTTCACATATCCCCCCAAAAAGTACTGGGAAGGAACCATTGCTCAGTCAAGATATTACCTTTTCCTCAACACCATTTTTTTTTTAATTCAGAAGGGGATATTGTCTATATTTAGATCAGTAATAATAAAGAAAAACATGTACCTTTCTGTTGGGATAACCACTTTGACTATGGCTTGCGACAGAGTCTGTATATGAAGTCACATCAGATAATAAACATAGAATATGTGAGTATTGTTAACAAGTAACAAGCAAAAATATACATATGCATTGAAAATACTACACATCTAATCACAAGTTTTGCAGGCAATCACTGCATTTGAAGTAATTATACACTAAGCAATTACATAAATGCAAATGGATGTGTTCAGTGAACAATAAGCGTTCACTAAATGCAAAGAATCAGAACATTCCTGCCAGAATGCACACCAATGCACTGAAATAGGTACTACACTGAGAATTATCAGATAAAGATTTTAATTTGTGAAATAATTAACTGTTTGCCTCCGACCATTAAGTTTGCTACTTTGTTCCCAAGCCTTTAAAACCAGCCCTGTCATTTTAAGTGTAATTAATCTATAACAGAACCAACAAATTCTTATAACTTGAAATTAGGTTGGTTTATGTTTAATAAAAAGAAAATACTCACCCTTTGCTTTTACTAGATTAATTTTTTTAAAAACCACATATGCTCTCAAATATTCTAGTACCTCAGACCTTGAGACTAGCTAGCTGCCATCCAAACAATTTAAGAAGTCTAATTGAAATGCACTTAACCAAATACAATGCATCACTTTCTCAGAACAAAGTAAATTTAGATACTGCCCTTAAGCAAACCTGGATACAACACTGGACAAAAAGAGGGAAAAAACTTAACAGTGGTCAAAAAAGGAATGATAGCCACAAATAAAAATACAACCTAATATTTCAATACAGCGTTTCCATGGGCTAAGGCAGGGAACACATTTACTTATTTCTTTAAGAGTTGCCAAACAGAATAACACACACATTTTCTATAAAGTTGTTGAAAAGAAATACTACCACAGATTTAGTATTTACAAACTAGATGCAGCCCTATGTACATCTTTAAAATTACCTTCTCAAAATCCTCCTTGTTTTTGGGTGGCGGTAACATGGGAGCATTGGGGTTTTTTAACCGCTCTCTAGGCTGCGCATTAAAAGGCAGTCCGGAAGGAGGTGGGGGAAGCGTATGTTCCATCATAGAAGGCGGAATGTATATTGGATGTGGAGGAATAGGTACAGCTTTACCCCAACCTAACTTCATTTCAAAAGACATAATCATTTTCCCTATAAAGAAAAAAAGAAAGTCATGTTGATAAAAGAAAATACTACTGGTAATTTAAATTAATCTTCATTTTTAGCCACTCCATTTCCTCCATATTATGGCTTTTATAAATACTTCTCCAAACCAAAGATATGTCTGATTTTTATAAATGCTAACTTTCTTACCATTTAAATTTTTTAAAGCTCTTTCAGCATCTCTTCTATTCATAAAAGCCACGAAGCCACAATTTCTCTCTCTTGCTCTCTCTTCATCAGTTCTAGGCCACATAATTTTCACACTGGCTAATGGTCCAAACCTCCCAAATTCTTGGCACAGCATTTCTTCATTCATCTATTAAAAGGCAGAAGAGTTTTGGTATGAAAAGGAAGGAAGCAAGCAAGTAGGCAGGAGGGAGAGAGGGAAGAAATGGATTCTATGTAACAGAATGCAAAGCAGCTTTCATAAAATGAAAGGCAACATATTAATTCTATAATTTTCTACTCAAGTACTAGGAACTCTACATAGGTAAAATTTTGCCCTCATGGGGAATTCACAAATCTTTTCAGACCCGAAGCACTCTGTTTGACCTATACAGGATGCCAAGGTGGGGAGGCTGGATGGCTGCAAAAGTCAAAAGCACTACACTTCTTCTGTTTCAGGATCCTAGACTCTAAATAAACTGTTCTGCAAGTGGTGGTTTGTTTAGGCTTATAGCAGCATTTTCCAAGCAGTTGTGATCAGCACATTTAAGTTAAGCAGGAAGTTATTTATTAATAATGACAAAAAAAATCTAATCATCTCTTCTCTTTTTCAGCACCCCACTACAAGAGGGCAAATATATATAATTTTTTTAAAGACCATATTGTGCATGAACTACTACACCCCCAGTAATAGAACTGATCATATAGAATACGGAAAGAATTAAAATATATAGTTTGTTACATGAAGAGTAAAAATGGGGATTCCATAATGAAGAAAGCTATGCATCAGCATGATTTAATCTCAAAACATCACCACCCTCTATTGGTCATCAGCAGCACCTAAGTAAAACATTCCTAATTTAAAGTTCATTCCAATTACTGAAAGAGGAAAGTCTTTAAGAATCGGTGGGAAGACAATCTGGGCCACACCAGTATCAGTCTCAAGCTTACAAGATAATTTTAGAGACTACCTAGCACTCCATTAGATTTGCATACTTTGAATCCTGAGTTTATTACTGACTGACAAAGCAGCTTGCTTTCAAAAGCAGAAAGCAAATGACCTAATATTCTTCTTACTTTACTAAACATTACCTGTGGATTAATGTTTCCAAGGTATAAATTAGTAGTGCTTGGATCTCCAACATCATGTGAGCCGGGTGCATAATCATCAAGAACTAGAGCAAAGAAAAAAAGAATTATAACCTGTAAAATATAAAGTTTGGACAATTTCTTAGGAATTAAAAAAAAAGCAAAAAACTGTATTACCACCAGATGATCTATTTCTTCTTGAAGGTGCATCCACTTAAAAGGAGGGAAAAGAAAACAAGTCTTAGTTTTTAGAATAATCAATCACAAATATACATAATAAAATCATGTCACTTACTAGAACGACGCTGACCATCAGAATCTGATTGAGGAGGCTCAAATCGACTTAACCTGCCTTTTGTTTTATGTCTCTCATCACGTTCTTCCTGAATTCTGTTGAAAATATTCACAATCACTAAAAATAAGCTACAATTTGATCACATTTCTAACAGAGCTTATCAAGGTACCATCTTCACATTACTGGAAATATTTGCAAGTAATTAGTTACCACTACTGACAACCAAGATTAGAAAGCCCTTCCCTCAGCTGTAACACAGCCACTAGCAAATTTCTGACTTATCATACTAGCAATGGAAAACAAAGGCTACTTTTAAGATGAGGAGGAAATCAACATTACAACTACTGATTTTCTTGTTTATTGCTAAGTTTAGCCACTCCTCACCCCTCCACGACAGTGAATATACTGATACCACTGGAAACAGACATTAACCAATTGAATCAAATTCATACAGAATTCATACAATAAAAGCATCCTAGATGCCGGATTAAATGCTAATTCATTTCTAACATACTCCACAAAAATATTTTATCTAAAACAACTTCTGCAGCAAGCTGGTTAACACTAATCTGGGTCATAGACCCATGATAGTTATTCTCCATAAAATGAAACTTACTGTTTTAACTCTTCTTTGAAGAGTTCCAAATTGCTTTTTTTCTTTTCTTTCTCTCCTTTCTTCAGTGGCTATGAAAAATACAAGTTATACTTTAAACAAAGGAAAGTTAAACAAAACTAATGGCTCAAATATAAGAGTATTTAAAAATTTTTGTTAATCCCCATATTTAAATTAAAAAAGACACTTCTATTGTCATTGAACTTTTCTTCCTGGTCCCTCCAAATAAAAAACAAATCATTAAACTACGCCATTAAGTGACAGTCAGTAGTCTTAAAGGAGCCACTAACTTTATCTCCCTAAAGGTTCTAATAGTCAGGCTTTAATACTGGGGAGATTGGGAGAGAGGAAGCAAAAGATCAATGAACACATGTTACTGAACCTTGCAAAATAACATTACTATTATGAACACCTAACAAAAATGTGTGCTCTCGGGGCTGGTGCCGTGGCATAGTAGGCTAAGCATCCCATATAGGTGCTGGCTATTCCTGGCTGCTGCTCTTCCAATTCAGCTTTCTGCTATGACCTGGGAAACAGCCACGTCCTCTCCTGCATTCTCTTGATTGCAGTACAGAAGAATTCTATTTTTATGAGGTCCAGTTCATAAAGTTTTTCTCTAAGCATTTATAATATCAGCTCTTATTATAGAGTCTGTGAACCATTTTGTGTTAATTTTTGTGTATGATGTGAAGTAGGGGGTCCCCTTTTAGTCTGTTATGTCTGAATATTCAGTTGTCCCAGCACCATTTGTTGAAAAGATATTTTTATATAGACAGAAAATGGCCCAAGTGCTTGGGTCCCTGCACCCATGTGGGAGACCTGGAAGAAGCTCCTAGCTTCAGATCAGTCCACCTCTGGCCATTGCGGGAGCAAACCAGAGGATGGAAGACCTTTCTCTGTGTCTCCTCCTCTCTGTCTGCAACTCTACCTCTCAAGTAAATAAATAAAATCCTTAAAAAAAAAAAAAAAGTATGCTTTTCAAAGCAATCAACTTTGGAAGACAGAAATTACTGAACCAGTAACATCTCTGGAATCACTCCTTTAAAACTGCCTCTAGGGACTGGCACTGTGGTGCAGTGAGTTAAAGCCCCAGCCTGTAGGCACCATATGCGTGCCTGTTCTAGTCCTGGCAGCTCCTCTTCCAATCCAGCTCTCTGCTAATGGCCTGGGAAAGCAGTAGAAGCTGGCCCAAGTCCTTGGGCCCCTGCACCCGCATGGGAGACCTGGAGTTAAGTCCTGGCTCCTGGCTTCAGATCGGATCAGCTCTGGCCGTTGCGGTCATTGGGGGAGTAAACCAGCAGAATGGACGACCTCTCTCTCTGTCTCTACCTCTCTCTGTAACTCTTTCAAATAAATAAAATAATTCTTTAAAAAGAAAAACTGCCTCTAACCCTGAGAATCTAATGTATTAATAAATTCCTTTAAAAAGAACAAATTGCTGGCCAGCGCCGCGGCTCAACAGGCTAATCCTCTGCCTTGCAGCGCCGGCACACCGGGTTCTAGTCCCGGTCGGGGCGCCAGATTCTGTCCCGGTTGCCCCTCTTCCAGGCCAGCTCTCTGCTGTGGCCAGGGAGTGCAGTGGAGGATGGCCCAAGTACTTGGGCCCTGCACCCCATGGGAAACCAGGAGAAGCACCTGGCTCCTTCCTTCGGATCAGCGCGATGCGCCGGCCGCGGCAGCCATTGGAGGGTGAACCAATGGCAAAGGAAGACCTTTCTCTCTTTCTCTCTCTCTCACTGTCCACTCTGCCTGTCAAAAAAAAAAAAAAAAAAAAAAAAAAAAAAAAAAATTGCTGCTAAATCTGCTTTTGGAATCTTATAAATATCAAAGTAATTCAAAGAAAAATAATTTTTCAACAAATGGTGCTGGGACAACTGAATATTCAGACATAACAGGCTAAAAGGGGACCCCCTACTTCACACCATACACAAGAATTAACTCAAAATGGTTCACAGACTCTATAATAAGAGCTAACAATATAAATGCTTAGAGAAAAACAATAACGAATCTTCATGACCTCTCCCTGGCAATGATTTCTTAGATATTACACCAAAAGCACACATTTCACAAGAAAAACTTTATGAACTGGACCTTATAAAAATTGAATACTTCTGTACTTCAATCAAGAGAATGCAGGAGAGGACATTCAGCCCCACAGTTAAGACATCCACATCCCACATCAGAATGCCTGGGTTCTCCAGCTGCTGACTCCAGCCTCCCTCCAATGCAGACTCCAGAAAGCAGCAGTGATGATTCAAGTAACTGGGTTCCTGCCACTCAAACTAGGGCTCCCATATGGGATGCCAGTGTCACAGGCAGCAGTTTAACCTTCTGTGCCACATCACTGGCATCCCACAAACTTTTGTTAAGTAGCCAAGAGAAATGAAAACATTTGTGCACACAAGAGCTCGCTCATACACCAATGTTTATAGCTGTATTAGTTATAATAGTTGAAAAGTGGAAACAACTCAAATCCCATCAGATAATGAAGAAATAACGAGGTACCATCCTTAAAATATAGTACTGTTTAACCACAAGAAGGAATGATGCCACAACAAAGGTGAACCTTGAAGTATTATGCTGGTAAAGAAGCCACAAGCGAAAAAAAAAAAAAATTAACATTTTGCATGATTCCATCTGTACAGAATGTCCAGAACAGGTACATCAAAAGAGATCAGTGGTTGTGAAGATGATTAATCACAAGTATAGGGTTTCTTTTGAGGATGTGTGTGTTTGTTTTTACAGGCAGAGTGGACAGTGAGAAAGGTCTTCCTTTTGCCATTGGTTCACCCTCCAATGGCTGCTGCGGCTGGCGCACCGCGCTGCTCCGATGGCAGGAGCCAGGTGTTTCTCCTGGTCTCCCATGCGGGTGCAGGGCCCAAGCACTTGGGCCATCCTCCACTGCACTCCCGGGCCATAGCAGAGAGCTGGCCTGGAAGAGGGGCAACCGGGACAGAATCTGGCGCCCCGAATGGAACTAGAACCCAGTGTGCAGGCGCCGCTGGGTGGAGGATTAGCTTATTGAGCCGCGGCGCCAGCCGAGGAGGTGTTTGAAAGCAGTAATTGCTGGAAAACTCTGAGTATACTTTAAAAAAAAAAAAAAATCACCCAATTGTACTAAAGTGTAAAAAGGTGAATTTCATGGCTTGTGAGCCATTTCTCTATACAGCTGTTATTTTTAAGAAATTCTAGGGCCAGCGCTGTGGTTGCAGCAGGTTAACACCCTGGCTGAAGCACCGGCATCCCATATGGGCGCCGGTTCTAGTCCTGGCAGCTCCTCCTCCAGTCCAGTTCGCTGCTATGGCCTGGGAAAGCAGTAGAAGTTGGCCCAAGTCCTTGGGCCCCTGCACTCGCTTGGGAGACCCAGAAGTAGCTCCTGGCTCCTGGCTTCGGATCGGCGCAGCTCCGGCCGTGCAGCCAACTGGGGAGTGAACCAGCGGATGGAAGTCCTTTCTCTCTCTCTCTCTGCCTCTCTCTGTGTAACGCTTTCAAATAAATAAATAAATCTTTAAAAAAAAAAAAAAGTTGCTTCCAGAGCAATTTTAAAAATCACAAGAAAAAAATCAGTGTCGTCATTAAATACAATCATATTTCTGACCCACATCTATCCACCATCTCTTATAAAACTCCCAAGAATAAAATATTTTTTCACAACTCTGTATATTTAAAAGATAGTGTAGGGGTAGGCATTCGGTATTGCTATTAAGACACCACTTAGAGGGGCCAAAGCTGTGGCGTAGCAGGTAAAGATGCCGTCTGCAGCGCTAACATCCCATATGGGCACCAGTTTGGGTTCTGGCTGCTCTACTTCCATTCTAGCTCCCTGCTAATGTGCCTGGGAAAGCAGTAGAAGATAGCCCAAGTCTTTGGGCCCCTGCACCCACAAGGGAGACCTGGAAGAAACTCCTGGCTCCAGCTGTGGTGGCCATTTGGGGAGTGAACCAGCGGATGGAAGACTTCTGTCTCTCTCTGCCTCTCTGTAATTCTTTCAAATAAATAAATAAAAAAATCTTAAAAAAAAAAATGACCACTTGGGAAATCAGAATCCCATATCAAAGTTCCTGGGTTCAAGTCCCAGATCTGCTCTTGATTTCACACTTCTGTTACTATGCATCCTGAGAAGCAACTGACACCCACATGGGAGACCAGGATTGAATTCCTAGTTCCCAGCTCCAGTCTTGCTCAGCCTCAACTGCTGCAGGCATCTGGGGAGTGAACCAGCTGCCTGATAGGAGGTCTGTTTGTCTGTTTCTGTTTCTTTCTCTACCTTTCAAATAAATGTCACTATTTCTGGCAATGACTTCCAAAGAATTCCAAAAATGTCTTGAGAAATAAATACCACAAATGCTATTAATTTAAACGGCCTTAAAAAGATAATCCTATTATTTTATATTTATACTCAAAACAGTTTACAGGTATACCTAAAACAGTCTATTTTTGACTTATAACATATGTACCACAGCAATGAACACCACTAAAAAAATATCATCTCTTTGTCATACTTTATTAATTCTCATCTAAGTACTTACTGGGATAGAAAGCATCAAAACTAAATATATATCCCCCATAAAACTGAGAGAGGAAAAAAAAACAAAGTCTTACTTATAGTGAAAGTACCCTAAATATAAATGGTCATTGGTAGTGTCATCTCTGAAAATAAATGGCCAATTAATAAGTATGACTTACAGGTTTTTTGGTTTCTATCACAAGAAGTGATGGTGGTCTTTCATTGGATGACTGATTTGGAGGATTCTTCTGATCTGCAAATCTTGAAGATGGCTTATAGATTTTACCTCTTTTTTCATCCGTTTCATGTTCTTCTGAAATTTAAAATACTAATTTTCAAAACTAATTTTACATTATTGGATTTTCTTCAAATGAAATAATGTTTTTATTTAAAAATATGCAAAAATTAGTTGAATGCTTTTTAGTATTATGACTTATAAATAACTGACAAATATAAAATTGACCTAAATACTACTACCTTACCTTCAAGAATCCAAACTTAGTTATTTTATAGTAAAACTATAAAACATATCAAAGCTATTGCAAAGTGTTCTGCCATCTTAAAACCTGAAAGGTACTAAATTATTTTTAAGTTATCTGACTATAATATCTAATTACCCCACATCTGGTCATTTACTTTGCTAATTAATGTAACCACTAGAGGGTGGTGATACAAAGAAAACACAAAATTCAAAAGCACAAACTTCGTTCCATTTTTATCTATCCAGTCATTGAACCAGTACTTTGGATTTGCTCAAGGACTGTAATATTTACACCTACCTTTAGCTGCATTAACAACACCCCCTCGCACAAACGTCTTCACTTTATTACCATCACTTCCTTCAAAAGCAGCAAGGAATTCCTCATAAATCTCAGCAGCTGCCTTTTCATCCTCCTAAATACACATGAAAATATCAATGTAAAAATCATTATTGTATATAAGGTTAAATTCATCAAAAAATAATGTAAAGGAAATGCTTCCCTTTCCAAGTTAAGCAGGGCCAAAAAGTAGTAACACTTAATCCTATGTAGATATTAGATACTAACACTGAAACTAAGAAAAGCTATCTGCTTCTGCTGATAATTTGTAGAACCAAGAAAGACCCACTTTGTATAGGTTAACAAGTAAATTTGTTTAGTGACAATTCAAGGGCCAACATGTATGACAATTGATTATATACAAGCCTTTTTATGCTTCTAATTTTTACCAATTCTGACGAATTAATTCAATGAATATAAAATTTCCTTTTCAAACCACCAAAGACATGAGCATTAGAAACATCAGCAGGGGCCGCCTACAGTGCCAGCATCTCATATGGGTACCCGTTTGAGTTCTGGGGGCTCTACTTCCAATCCAGCTCTCTTCTATGGCCTGGGAAAGCAGAAGATGGCCCAAGTCCTTGGGCCCCTTCCCCTGTGTGGGAGACCCAGAAGAAGCTCCTGGCACAGCTCCAGCACAGCTCCGGCCATTGCAGCCATCTGGGGAGTGAACCGGTGGATGGAAGACCTCTTTCTCTGCCTCTGCCTCTGCCTCTCAAATAAATAAATAAATCTTTAAAAAAAAAAAAAAGCAGCAGCAATATCTACTTCTGACAGTGGCATTAAAGAAAAACAGTTCCAGGGGCCAGCACTGTGGCACAGTGCATTAAAGCCCTGGCCTGAAGCACCGGCATCTCATATGGGTGTCTGTTCTAGTCCTGGCTGCTCCTCTTCCAATCCAGCTCTCTGCTCTGGCCTGGGAAAGCAGTATAAGATGGCCCAAGTCCTTGGGCCCCTTCCCCTGTGTGGGAGACCCAGAAGAAGCTCCTGGCATAGCTCCAGCACAGCTCCGGGAGTTGCAGCCATCTGGGGAGTGAACCAGAAGATGGAAGACCTCTCTCTCTGTCTCTACCTCTCTTTATAATTGTCTTTCAAATAAATAAATCTTTAAAAAAGAAAAACAGTTCCAAAGAATCTTGACATTTTCAATTATATTCTAAATGTTCTAAAATATATATGAATTAAAAAATCCAAGGATACAGTAAATAAAGAAATAAACCAAGAGCACATGTAAATTTAGCATTCAAGAAAAATGAATCTTAAAAAAAATCAAATATGTTAAATTTTCTTGAAAATGAAAGCATACGGGGCCGGTGGTGTGGCATAATGGGTAAAGCTGCCGCCTGCAATGCCAGCATCTCATATGGGTGCTGATTCTAGTCCCAGCTGCTGCACTTCCGATCCAGCTCTCTGCTGCAGCCTGGGAAATCAGTACAAGATGACCCAAGTCCTTGGGCCCCTGCACCCACATGGGAGACCTGGAAAAAGCTCCTGGCTCCTGGCTTCAGATTGGCGCAGTTCCAGCCATTGCAGCCATCTGGGGAGTGAACCAGCAGATGGAAGATCGTGCGTGCACTCTCTCTCTGTAATTCTTTCAAGTAAATAAATAGATCTTAAAAAAAAAAAAAAAAAAAAAAAAAACTATACGAGTACTAGAAGGAAACATGAGGACATTTCTTTATAAGTTGCAATTGGGAAAAACTTGACTGAAAAACCAGAAATCATAGGGAAAGATGGACAAATTTAATTATAAAACAACAGCTTCTACAAGGAATAAAACACCAGAAACCAAATGCCAATTGACAAACTAGAGGAAAAAATACTACATCTTCTATAACAGACAAAGTATTAGTAACTTAAAGATAACATGGGAATCCCACCACCATTGGACCTCAAAAAAAAAAAAAAAAACACAAGAAAAACCGATCAACTTTACTCCTTGTAAGTAAGATAAACGGAAACTAAAAGCTATCCTGATACCACTTTTCACCAAGTAGACAAAACTCCTTCAAATATATCTTCTACCAGCAAGGCTCTGAGGAAACAACCATTCACACACTGAGTTGACAGTGATACAAATATCCCTGCCTTTATAGTGAACAATTTGATAGTGACAACAAAGCAGAACTACATTTATGAAACTACCATTCAATTCAGTCATCTCACTTACAAGACTACATCCTGAAGATAAACTAGAAAAACAAAAAAGTAAAAAGCAAAAACAGGCATAACACTATCTACAGCAGCATTATTTATAACAAAAAACCCCACAAATGCCCACAATAGGATTTTAGTGAAATAAACTATTGTACATCTACACAGCTATAGAGAACAATGAATATTTCTATACTATATTTGAAGTCATCTCTGAGATTTAGTATGAAGTTTAAAAAGCAAAGTGGAAAAAAGTATACCACATACAGCATGCTACTATTCATCTTAGAGGAATGAGTGGACTATCTACACACACACACACACACACACACACACACACTTGCTTATACAAAAATACAAGTCCAAGAATGGGTATTTGGCCAAGCAGTGTTAAGGCACCAGTTGGGATGCCCACATGCCATATAGAGTTCCATCTCTACTCTCAATTCCAGCTTCCTGCTAATGCACACCCCAGGTGGCAGCAGAGAATGGCTCTCTGTCACCTGTGTGGGAGACCAGGATTGAGATTCCAGCTCCTAGCTTAGGACTGATACTGGCCCTGGCACAGTCCTGGACCACAGGCAGGCATTTGGGTAGTGAATCAGCAGATAGAAGATTTCTCTGTGTATGGATTTCTCTCTAATAAACAAACACAATTTATTTTTCAAAAGGGAAGAAATAACCAATATTGTTACCTAAAAGGCAGCAAACGGGTCAGAGACCACAGAGTAGAAGATAGACTCCTCTGAATAACCTTTTGCACATTATTTGGCTTAGGAATGGAACTGAGAACACAGTGGAGGTCAAGAATCTTTTGGAAACATCTCTCTACTACCTATATAGTTACTGCCCCATCACGAACATTCATTTCCAATGATAATTCAAAATGATTTTAAGTATTACCTTTTTCTTTAATTCCTCTTGTTCCTTCTTACTTAAAGTTCGCTTAGCTGTACTCATTTTTCCAATACTGAATGCTTTAAGTTTATTTTCTAGAAGAGGCTGTAAAAAATAAAAAACATAGCCTTTACATACACATTCTAAACCAAACTGCAATTTTAACACACCTCAGTTAATAACCATTCTTCAGAACTGATTACTCTTAAAAATCAAATCTACTCTAAGCATCAGATGCCTGTTGTGGGCTTGACTGACATAAGCATTCATTAAAGAAGGTCTTTATGTGTAAGCTCAAGGTTAATAAGATGCAAAAGTCATTTTTAAAAATGGTAAAAATAGAAGAGAAAGACAGGCATCAAGTTTAGAACAAGAATCAAAGTATCCAAAGAGGGAAAATAAGAAGTTATAGGGCAAAAGTAGCATGAAAGGGAACCTCTTCAAACACAGAGAGGGATGCATACATTTCCACAGTCCAGTAGCAGGAATCCACCATCTAAAACTCCAGTTCCAATAATTTACTAGGTGGTTTCATTGCTCATCAACAATGTTGATATTTATAAACATCGTAATTTTCATTTTCTATGCTTAGCATATATTACCTTCAGTATCATACATCTCAGCTCAAGTAAAACTAAATCAATTAATTTCCAAAACAGATGGGGCATCCCTAAACAAAAATTCAAGACAAAACCTTTGAATGACAATGTGACACAATGGAAAATTCTACACTGGATCTCATGTGGCAGGTCATTCAAAATGCAAGAATACTAAAATACTGCACAAAATTATCTGCAGACATTTGAATAGTATATTATAAAACAAATGAATTCTCAGGTCTCACCCCCAAGATATCTCATTGTATACATGCAAATATTCTAAAATTAAAACAAAACAAATCTGAAACACTTCTGATTCCAGGTATTTGAGTTAAAGGGTACTCAACATGCAAAAGAAAATAGTATTTTAATGAAATCTTCATTAAAATTTTTAACAAAGTCCTCATTTATGTAACTCAGAAACAATGTCTTTCTTAAATAAGACCTAAATAAATTGACTACAGGCTTTTAGCAGTTTGATAAACTATTTGATTCATAAACTTAAAAGATAGAAATGTTTATTAAATACAACCTAAAAATACTGCAATCTACTAAAATGAAAGGATAATCAATCACAAAACTAGACTATCAGTTCCCTGGTTATGAAATAAGCTTCCCCTTGGGAGATGCAGAACAGAAGAGTAACACTGCTACAAGCTATTTCAAAGTTGCATTAAAAAAAAAAAAAAAAAAAAACTTTTGAGGAAAATAAAGCAGTTTATGGGCCGGCGCCGCGGCTCACTAGGCTAATCCTCCGCCTTGCGGCGCCGGCACACCGGGTTCTAGCCCCAGTCGGGGCGCCAGATTCTGTCCCGGTTGCCCCTCTTCCAGGCCAGCTCTCTGCTGTGGCCCGGGAGTGCAGTGGAGGATGGCCCAAGTCCTTGGGCCCTACACCCCCATGGGAGACCAGGATAAGCACCTGGCTCCTGCCTTCAGATCAGCGTGGCGTGCCGGCCGCAGTGGCCATTGGAGGGTGAACCAACGGCAAAGGAAGACCTTTCTCTCTGTCTCTCTCACTGTCCACTCTGCCTGTCCAAAAAAAAAAAAAAGGCAGTTTATGGTGCAGTGGGTTAACGCCCTGGCCTGAAGCGCCGGCATTCCATATGGGCGCCAGTTCAAGACCTGGCTGCTCCACTTCTGATCCAGCTCTCTGCTATGGCCTGGGAAAGCAGTAGAAAATACCCCAAGTTCTTGGGCCCCTGCACTTGCGTGGGAGGCCTGGAGGAAGCTCCCAGCTCCTGGCTTCAGATTGGCACAGCTCCAGCTGTTGTGGCCAATTTGGGAGTGAACCATCAGATGAAGATTCTCTCTCTCTCTCTCTCTGTAACTCTGACTTTCAAATAAATAAATCTTTAAAAACAAATAAATAAATAAAAATAAAGCAGTTCATAACCCAAAAGTTAATACTAACTTGCAGGAACAGATTCAAAATTAATTTCTGTCCTCAAAATAAGAAAAAAGCTTTGTCATCATTCAGCATCTTTGATTTCAACTCAAAAGTTTAAATAGTGAAATTAGATAATGAAAAACATTTTACAAAATTTCCATGTTGAAATTTTTATATTCCTAAAACCAAATTTAGATACCCAAAAGCAAAGTGGTTAAGTAAGTTGTGGAGTGTTTACTCAAAGGATTAATACAATCATCCATTAAAAAGTTAAAAGAATCTTTGCTAAAATAAAAAATATTAGATGTGAACATATTTTTTTTCTTTTTTTTTTTTTTTTTTTGACAGGCAGAGTTAGACAGTGAGAGAGAGACAGAAAGAAAGGTCTTCCTTTTTCCGTTGGTCCACCCCACAAGTGGCTGCCGAAGCCAGGAGCCAGGTGCTTCCTCCTGGTCTCCCTATGCTGGTGCAGGGACCAAGGACCTGGGCCATCCTCCACTGCATTCCTGTGCCACAGCGGAGAGCTGGACTTGAAGAGGAGGAACCAGGACAGAATCTGGCACCCCGACCAGGACTAGAACCCGGGGTGCCAGTGCTGCAGGCGGAGGATTAGCCTAGTGAGCCGTGGCACTGGCCAGATCTGAACATATTCTAAAACATGTTCCCATAAAATGGATCTCAGCAAACTAAAAATAAATTCATGTTTAGAAATATTAAACAAGGGAGCCAGCACTGTTGGCGTAGTAGGTAAAACCGGCATCCCATATGGGCACCGGTTCGAGTCCCGGCTGCTCTACTTCCGATCCAGCTCTCTGCTAGGGCCTGGGAAAGCAGTAGAAGATGGCCCAAGTCCTTGGGCCCCTGTGCCTATGTGGGAGACCTGGAAGAAGCTCCTGGCTTCTGGCTTTGGATCAGTGCAGCTCCAGACGTTGAGGCCGATTGGGGAGTGAACCAGCGGATGGAAGACCTCTCTCTCTCTCTCTCTGCCTCTCCTTCTCTGTGTAACTCTAAATAAATCTTTAAAAAATATATATTAAACAAGAAAAATTAAGCAGGTAATACTGGCTATTGATGACTATGCCGTTTATTCTACTTCATAAACTTAATCACAAGGAAAAAAAACTATTTAAAATAGAAAAAACACTAAAAGAACCAAGATTCTGGAGCAAAGAAACTCCTTTCCTCTGTTCCTCTATTGTCCAGGTAATTGTACCTACAGGATGAATAGTACTCTCTCACTCTTTGCTTCTCAGAGAAAGACAATAAGCGCTCAGAGAGCAAAGGACTGTGGCACAGCAGCTTAAGTGGCCACCTGAGATGCCATCTTCCCATGTGAGTGCTGGTTGGAGTCCGGCTGCTCCAATTCCGATCTAGCGCCCTAACATATCTGGGAAAGCAGCAGAAGCTGCCCCAAGTGGTTAGGCCTCTGCCACCGACATGAAAGACTCAGATGGAATTCCAGGCTCCTGGCTTCAGTCCGGCCCAGCTCCAGCCATTGCAGCCACTTGGAGAGTGAACCAGTGGATGCTAGACCTTTCTCTGCCTTTCAAAAAAAAACTGTGTTTAGACATCTGTGACTGGTAATTATTTACTTGGTTCATTAAAGTCCAAAGGGGGGGGGGGGGGCAGGCAGAGATAAATCCAGTGAACTCATTTTACATCCAAAATGCTCCTATTTTTAAAATAAATTTAGACTTCAAGGACAAATTAAAATCATTAATTTTATCTTTACCAATACTCACTCTGGAGACATTCTGATGAGGAGAATCACAAAGGTTCTCACGAGTACTTTCATTCCTATAATTATGTTTTCTTGGGCTCTTAGGCCGTGTCCGACTTGGCATATCACTATCTGAGGGTCCAGATGCATCCATCTTCAAGAAATGTAAAAAAAAATTTTAAAGTCACATATAATACTGAAAACTAGAAATAATCCAAGTGTCCAAACACTGACAAAAATCTCATCATTCACCATCAAAAACCACATCCTTTAATGCAACCGTTGACTTCATCAGAAAAGTCCTTAAGGACACAGAAAGGTTTCAACAATTCTAACTTATACTTGAAAGCTCGCATTTATATTGGAAACAGTTCTTGGAGTAACATGTCCACATTCTTCATTTTCAATAAAATGCCTGCCACATTCTCAAGCCTGAATAAAATTTGTCAGATGTTCCTTCAAGCAAAAAAAGTATTTCATGAAAAAAGCAACTAGTTTCATTCTCAACTCAACAACTATACAAGTACTTTTCTTCAAGAAAAAAGCGCACATTAGTAAAAGTTATCTTGAAGGCCGGCACCGCGGCTCACTAGGCTAATCCTCCGCCTGCGGCGCCGGCACACCAGGTTCTAGTCCTGGTCGGGGTGCCGGATTCTGTCCCGGTTGTCCCTCTTCCAGGCCAGCTCTCTGCTGTGGCCCGGGAGTGCGGTGGAGGATGGCCCAAGTGCTTGGGCCCTGCACCCCATAGGAGACCAAGAGAAGCACCTGGCTACTGGCTTCGGTCAGTGCGGTGCGCCGACCGCTGCGGCCATTGGAGGGTGCACCAACAGAAAAGGAAGACCTTTCTCTCTGTCTCTCTCTCTCACTGTCCACTCTGCCTGTCAAAAAAAAAGTACTACTTGTTTCATCACAAAATATAAAAAGACCTGTCTGTACTCAAGTCAAGATTTCTTAATACTTTACTGCTTCACTAGGAACTTGCTAAGTGTAACTAGCATATTTTTACTATTCCTAGTATAGAAGATTATAATGACTACTAGTACTTTTTGGCATCACTGCCTTGATTCATACTGAAGTGTCAAAAGTTTACCCACCAACTGCTTTTGTACCATAGTATGACTGTCAACACAGTGAAAAAGGTAAATAATGCCTTAGTATTACCACAAAATAGTTTTGAACTCAAGACTCCCTGAAAGATTCTCAGTGATCTCCTGGAGGTCCACAGACCACACTCCAAATGTTGTTATAATATTGCAGTATTACTCAAGAGTCAAAAAGCTTTCAATAAAGTTATGCCCATTAACAGAAAAATAGCTTAATAAGTAAGTTTATGTTCCCACAGTGGAATAGTATGATGCCATTAGAAAGAACAGATTAGAGCTATGCCAGCTGACTTGTCAGGACATATAACAGGTATATCGTGCAGTGAAAAAGGGTCTATACTACACTTACACAGCGAATGTGTAAGTATATACATCTATGTGCATACAGAATTTTAAAACATAATTTATAAAAGGGAATATACATCGGCCAGCACCGCAGCTCAATAGGCTAATCCTCCGCCTTGCGGCGCCAGTACACCAGATTCTAGTCCTGGTCGGGGCGCCGGATTCTGTCCTGGTTGCCCCTCTTCCAGGCCAGCTCTCTGCTGTGGCCCAGGAGTACAGTGGAGGATGGCCCAAGTCCTTGGGCCCTGCACCTCATGGGAGACCAGGATAAGTACCCGGCTCCTGCCATCGGATCAGCGCGGTGCGCTGGCCGCAGCGGCCATTGGAGGGTGAATCAATGGCAAAGGAAGACCTTTCTCTCTGTCTCTCTCTCTCTCACTGTCCACTCTGCCTGTGAAGAAAAAAAAAAAGGAATATACATACTAAATGTCTAACTTTGAGAGGGCTGATTCACAAGTAGAGGTTCATAGCAAAAAAGATAAAAGAAAAAGATAAAACATAAAAGATTAAAATCATAGGCATGGGGTTAGAATTTGCTCTAACAGTTAAGATGCTACTTGGGACACAGACATTCATATTGGTTGGATTACCTGAGTTCAAGTTCCAGCTATGCTCCCAAGCAGCTGGGTCCCTGTTGCTCACGTGGGAAACCTGGACTGAGTTCCCAGTTTCAGCCCCCTACAGTGGCCAGTTACAGGCACAAGGGGAGTGAACCAGAGGATCGCTGTCTTTTTCCATTTCTCCTCTGTGTGTCTCTAATCTCTCAAATAAATAAGTCATTTTTTTAACTACAAGGATAATATATACCAATAAAAATCAAATTTTTAAAGAAAAAAAGTCAAAGGCTGCCTTTTATACTCACATGTGCATCTGAAGATCCAGATGAGTGAACATCTGATGATCTGGTCTGAAAGTATTAAAGTAATATTAATGTTAGCGGGGTATATCTAAGGCATAATTACCTTTTTACGGTATAGAATGGAAATTCAGTATTTTTATAAATTTTTGTGCAAAAGCTTTTCCCAAGTCATGAAACACAGTTTACTGTCAGGACACTGCTGGAGGAGAAATTTCTTGGGAGACAACAAGAACAAAAAAATGCCCTCCCTTTTTCCAACCATCCAAAGCCACAATTAAGAAGCAGACTCTAGGGGCCAGTATTGTGCACAGTGGGTTTAGCCACCGACTGCAGGGCCAGCATCCAATAGGCAATTTTATTGCCTAACATTTAAGCACTCCACAATGTAGCCTGAATGTACAATTCTCCACTTCTGATTCAGCTGTTAATGCAGCTGGGAAAGTAGTGGAAGTTGGTTCAAGTGCTTGGGTTCCCTGCCACCCATATGGGAGTACAGGAAGAGAAGCTCCTGGCTCCTAGCTTTGGCCTGGCCTAGCCTCAGCAGTTGTGGCCAACTGGAGAGTGAACCAGCAGATGGAAGATTTCACTGTCTCTCTCTGCAACTATTTCAAATATATAAATGAATCTTCAGAAATAAAATAAAAATCAAAGCAGTCAGTTCAAAGCTAGCACTTTTGTCAGCTTTGCAAATAACATGATTTGATGAATTTACAAATAGGGCAATAACGTCATAGCTTGGAATCAGCTGATTTCAATCAACCTAAGATGTCATTAGTCACAGTCATCACAAACCATTTTCCATTGATAGGTGGCTACAACTACACAGCATTCAGAAAGGAACTCTGTTAGGTTTAAGAACAATTAAAGAGATGCAAATAGCAGGTATTAAGACCTACAAGTAACAACCAACTTCTACAGCTAGTTGTCACGTAAACAGCAAATGTCCACACTATAGAAGCTGGGCCTCTCTTTTAAAGGTTTATTTATTTATTTATTTGAAAGGCAGAGTTACAGAAAGAGAAATCTTCCTCCCACTTGTTCGTTCCCCAAATGGCTTCAACAGCCATGCTGGGTCTTCCACATCAGTGCAGGGCCCAAGGACTTGGGCCATCTTTCACAGCTTTCCCAGGCACATTAGCAGGGAGCTGCATCAGAAGTGGAGCAGCTGGGACTCAAGCTGGCACCCATATGGGATGCTACCACTGTAGGCAATGTCTTTACCCACTATGCCACAGTGCCAGCCCCACCACTGCCATTTAGATCTTCCCTTTCTTTAACCATTTACTGTCACTTTTTTTTTTTTTTTTTGACAGGCAGAGTGGACAGTGAGAGAGAGAGAGAGAGAGACAGAGAGAAAGGTCTTCCTTTGCCGTTGGTTCACCCTCCAATGGCCGCAGCGGCCGGCGCACCGCGCTGATCCGATGGCAGGAGCCAGGTGCTTCTCCTGGTCTCCCATGAGGTGCAGGGCCCAAGGACTTGGGCCATCCTCCACTGCCTTTCCGGGCCACAGCAGAGAGCTGGCCTGGAAGAGGGGCAACCGGGACAGAATCTGGCGCCCCGACCAGGACTAGAACCGGGTGTGCCGGCACCGCCGGCCTTACTGTCACTTCTTATTCAGGATACTGTGCCTTGCATTACAGACAGAAAGTAAAATAACACATAGCTCCTGCTCTTTGATTGCTAATAAATAAAAGAAATAAGTAAAACAAAGTGGATATGCCATAATAATGTATATAAGGCAGGCAAATGTTACTGGTGATGGGGCAGTCTGTGTTGGGGAAAGCTTTCCAGGACAGGAAGACAAATTTGTTAAGTAGTCCTCAATAATTACCAGTACCACAGCAATAGCTTCCAAACTGGTCCTCCACACCCTCAAATACTTCCTTAACCATGCCCTCAGAATAACCCTTCTTTTTCCCTTTTTATAAAGATTTATTTATTTGAAAGTCAAAAGAGTTACAGAGAGAGGGGGAAGACAGAGAGAGAGAGACCTTCCATCCACTGGCTTACTCCCCAAATGGCCACAATGACTAGGGCTGAGCCAGGCCAAAGCTAGGCTCTTCATCGGGATCTCCCCATGGGTGTAGAGGCCCAAGCACTCAAGCTATCTTCCACTGCTTTCTCAGGCACATTAGCAGAGAACTGAATTGGAAATGAAGCACCCACATGGGATGCTGGCGCCACAGGCAGCCACTTTACCCACTACGCAACACCAGGCCCAGAACAGGCCTTCTAAAGGTCTTTCTTGACTCAAATTTCCCATGACTCTCTAATTTTATTGCCTAACATTTGAAGCACTCCACAATGTAGCCTGAATGTACAATTCTAGTCTTAGCTCATTTTATTTTCCATACAAGTATCCTATACACCAGCTAACCCAATTTAATTCATTCTCAAGCAATTTACTTTATTTGCCTCACTCATTTCTTTTCTATTCCCTATTCCTTCACTTCAAAAGTCTACTCATTGCTCAGAGGACCCAGTAAACAAATTTCATTATGTTCTTGAAGTCTCCCCCTCACCACTGTCCATCTGAACACTTGTCACTTCTTTCAGATACTTGCAATGGCTCTGCCTTATGCTATTACGGCTGTTGACCCTCCTCTACCAGAGAGCATGCTCCCCCAAATTGGGCTTCAGTCTTAATGTTTTCTCTCTCAACATCAAGCACAAATTCTGGCAAGTGACAGAGCTACAATATACGCACACTTGTTGACTAAACCTTTTAAGAACAAGTACCCACCAACAAAATTACATTCTATTCACTAATAAGGAGCAGTTACTTAGCTTAATACCACTATCCAAGTCAAACCACAGTCTTCACTTCTCAAAAATAAACTATAAAATCACTGGGACGTGCACTACATTAACAGTTAACTAACAAACTTAAATCAACTTTTTAATTATTTCTAAAACACTACCAATACATGAAAAGGTCTAAGTATACTCAATGTCCTACAGTTTATCAAAAGTGAAGAAGAATCTTGTGAAAAACTTTACTCAAGGAATAGACATCTAACATACTAACAGCTTCAAAGGCTACTGACAAACTTATCTTGCTTTCAAGAAAGTTATTTCAGGGGCCAGCGTTGTGACATAGCAGGTAAAGCTGCCACCTGTGATACTGCCATCCCATATGGGTATCAGTTCATGTTCTGGCTGTTCCACTTCAAATCCAGCTCCCTGTCAATGTGCCTGGGAAAGCAACGGAAGATGGCCCAAGTGCTTGGGCCCCCGCACCCACGTGGGAGACCTGGAGGAAGATCCTGGGTTCGGCCTGGTCCAGCACCTGCCCTTGCAGCCATCTGAGGAGTAAACCAGTGGATGGATGACTTTTCTTTCTTTTTTGGTTTGTTTCTCTCTACAACTCAGACTTTCAAATAAATTTAAAAATCTTAAAAAAAAAAAAAAAAAGATAAAAAGTTACTTCAGCAAAACATCCAGTACATGGCTGGTGTGCAATAAAATGTTAAAACTACTTATAAGAGTATGAGCAAAATAATGTACAATATTAGGTTTTTTTCAATATCCTATACCAAGTAATCATTTTTAAAATGATGATCTTTATACAAAGGGATAAAGAGGTAGGAGTCTTCAGCTTACACATGAAATGACTTTCTCTCACATGCCACTGAGGCAAATAGGTTTAGTTTCCAGAGAAAACACAGTTTTACAAGTAAAAACCAAAAGAAAATAAAAACTGGGCTTTCAGAAAACAATTAAGATCAAGTCATATTCATGCAGCAGTGCTGAAGACTCAAGTTTCTAAAAAGTGCTCAAGAAAACAGAAGTTCCACTCTCTACCCGAAACACAACCTTCCATCAAAAAACTAATCACCTTACACTTTAAAGAGAAAATTACTACCGAATCATAGTAAAGATTTAATTTAACCTAAAATCAGAAAAATTACTAAGAGTCTACTTTTCAAGGTCTGGTTTTGTTGGAATTTTTTCACCACATTTAAATCTTCATGTATCACCAAGAAAACATATACATTAGCGATAATAAATACCAAAGGACAACAGGCCTTCAACAGATCTTCATTTTATTTATTTCTTATAAGTGATACTTTTTGTTAACCAACAAAGGCAGTCAATCAAAATAGTGCCTAAAGTAATAACGAAGCCAGTAGTACTTCCTATTTTATCCATTCAACTACCTTACCCAATTTTTGATTAAATAGACACTATTAACAGAGCAAAAACAACACGGCACACAAACCTGTTATACCAGCAATATTAGTATAGGAAAGAAGAAAAATACCACCTCTTCTTTTATACTTATTTTGCTGTACAACCAAACAAAATGGTTTACAGTCAAATTAATTTTTATAAATTAAATCCTAGGGAAATACATTTAACACTTTTATAAGTGAACAATTATAGGAAGTCTGTCTCTTCTCCAAAAATTAAAGCTACTACATATCACAAATATCCCTTCCCAACTAAGCAACATTTTAATCTAATGATAAACACACCTAAGTTCATAGGAAAACTTTAGCTCATTTCTAAACATTTACAGAATGTCTATCGCCGTGCTTTAAATGAAAAGTACAACAAAATTACAGAAAATAGGGGCTGGCACTATGGTGCAGTGGGTTAAGCCACCACCTGCGATGCCAACATCCCATATAGACACCAGTTCAAGTCCTGGCTGCTCCACTTCCAATCCAGCTCACTGCTAATGGGAAAAGCAGCAGAGGATGGCCCAAGTTTATGGGCCCGTGCACCATATAGGAGACCGGGAAGAAGCTCCAGGCTCCTGGCTTCTTCTTGGCCCAACCCTGGCTATTGTGGCCATTTTGAGAGTGAACCAACTGATAAAAAGATTTATCTCTTCTCTCCATAACTCTGCCTTTCAAATAAAAATAAAATCTTAAAAAAAAATTACACAGAAAATAAAAGGGTATGGGTGGGTCTCTTCATTAGGGACAACATGACGAAAGTCATTCAACTACACATACATGTCATCTTAAAAGGAAATGTGGTTGTTATCTAATTTCATCTCCTTATAGTTAAGAGCCATGAATGACTTTGCCATGATAAATGGCAAAAACCCTGTATGATGTACATTTTAAAATTAAAATTTCCCAAAAATATGATTGATAAACATTTCTATCCATATCAATGGGATTTCAACTACCAAAGAATTAACACAAAACAGAAGTCCCTGTTCATTTCATCTGTGTTACAGAATATAAGCCCCTTATCTGCTCTCTCCAAAGAACACAAATCAAACCATAGAAATAAAGGTTGGAAATTCCAAATACTACAGTTCTAGCCAAAATAAGTTTATATTCTAATAAATTCCAGCATTGTGTTGGAAATAAGTAAAAGCAACCTGGGTGGTCATTACAATGGCTGAAGACTAAGGATTAAAATATATCCTAACATTTTGAAAAGTAAGTACTTTTTAATTTCCTCCTTTAATCCTTATAATAGTCAGTTAAAAAAAAAAGTGGGAGGGACTACGTCCACACTACAAATGAGGAAAGTGAGGTTCAAGAGTTTAAGCAATATATGCTTTAAGATTATTGCAAACATTAATTACCAAGTCAGGATTTGAATCCAAATCTCTTGGTGGTTATCAAAATCCATCATCTTTCCACTACACTGTGTGGTTTCTATATGAACAGAGAAATCAGAAATCACAGTAACATTATTTGAGTCAAGATTCCTCTTACAGACATGAGTAAGGAATCTGTGAATAGTATCAACAGATGATAACCTAAAGCAGTATAAACTAAAAAGATTAATGGAAGAGCCAATAATTACATGAAGCAGCCACACATTTACAACCATGAAAAGCACTGAAATATTCTCATTGTATCCAAGGCCTCAAATACGGACTATTGCAAATACTTTGAGAGGAAGCACGAATTATTACCAGCATAGCTTTACTAACACTCCCTATGAGTGAGGCTGCTTTTGTCTTGAGTTTCTCCAAGGACAGAGTGTGTAAGATGAGTTTTCCACCTATTCATCTACACCCCTCCCCCAAAAGGAAGGAAAGAAAAACTGATAGGGAATAAAGATGTAAAGCAGCTAAAAGTGGTTTAATTTCTAAGTAACTAAAGGATGTTTGGTAACTGCAAAGTACTTAGTGAATTCACCAAACGGCATACAGATTGCTATTTAACAGAAAATGTTTCTCATTACAAACTGTAAGCCTAAGGCTCTCCCCTTAAACCGTCAACATAAGTTTTTAACAGAGGACTTGAGGTCATATACGCTTTTAACATCTCAGACAAAATTTCTTCTACCAGCATCTGAAAGATTAACAACTACTTCACGGAAGTACCTCTTACTTTTAAGATAAGAAGCCCAAAGCAAAAACAAAACAAAACCTATTAAGTGGCCCGCCCCAGATGGCCCACGTAAGACCTGATGCTAACCAGAACCTAAACTATTCAACACTCGGCCGGTTTCACAATCCGTGCACTCGGCTCCCCCTGTAAACTCCAGTGTAATTTACTGGTCTCAGCTTCCAAGTCAACGCAAATTCTTTCGCTGGAGCAACACACAACATGGAGGTGAAGGAGACCCCAGTCTTCGACGCCCGAAAGAAGGGCTTGTTTCTACTTCCCCTAAAGTGAGGGAGTGACCACGTGTAGAGTGTGGCACTAACCTTGGGAGGCAGCTCCGCACAGCAGAGCCGCTCCCGCCTCTGCACTTCCCACCCCGTGCCCTTCCTCTACTGGTCCCTCCTCTCTTAAGCTGCGACCCTAGAAATGATTTATGCCCCGGCAGGCGTGAAATTCAGGAAGGCCGGAAGCGAGTGAAATCTAAAACCGAAGAACCGAGGAAAAAAGAAACAGTTAAGCCACGGGAAGCGATTCCCGCCTCTCCTAGGCGCTGTGCGGCGGCCTCCGAGCCCAGCGAGCGGGGATCCGGGGACGCGTTTACAGGGCTTCAGACCTCAATCTGAATTCCTGACTTCACTCCAATGCCAAGCGCGGGCCGAACTACCCACGCCAGCACCTCCTGGACACGCCAGTCTCGAGCCGAATCCAGCCTGGGACTAAGGGGCGATACCAGGCCTCTCAACCTGCGCACCACGGGTGCGGCGAGGCCGGGCCTACTGACGCAACCAGAACTCGGACCCCAACCCCAGTGACCGCCCGTGGGCCAGAAGCCCCTGCAGGCCCCAGAACGCAGCGACAGACCCACTGACTTGCGAAGTCCTCTAAGAAATTACCTTTGAACTGGCCTTCTGAGATCCGCCTGGCGTTTTGTCCGCCATCTTGAGCTTTGCCCCTCCTTCGGCGGCGGCAGCAGCACGAACAAGTCGAGCGCCGAAAAAGCCGATTTCAGCGAAGCCCGCCAGAGGCGCTTGCAAGGCTGAATAGCCGACTGCCGAGATAGTGAACTCAGGCCGAGTCGTGCCACGTGACTTCCGGTGTCAGTTAACATTCCTCCGCTACCCCGCGTACTCACTCGGCTGGTGTTTTGGGGAGTCTGGCTTCTTGGTGGCGTTTTGGGGTCCGGGAATTTGGAGACTCTTGTTGCCCTCACTTTGAGGGCAGGCTGATACTTCACAGTCTTTTCCGTGCCCCAAGGCTTGAAGGATGGGAGCCAGTTGTATTTCCTGGGCGGGAAGAGGACCGCGCTTAAACAGCGCGCTGGCCATCTGAGGGAGGAGCCTTTGCTTCCATTCGGAAAATAGGTCGGAGCCGAGTAGGGGTCAGGCGCGGGGTCGGCAGAGACGCTGTTGGCGCGCGCGGTGATGGGAAAGGCAGAGCCTTGGTCTGCCGGCGTTGAGGTGGTGAATACCGAGATAAGGGTTGTGCCTGGGGGGCCGGGAGGAACGTTACCTCCGATCCCAGGGAGATCCGCTAGAAACGGGCGTCTGCAGAATGAGCCCGTTGCAGACAGGAGGGAATGCGGGAAAGTCGTGAACACTCCGCGGCTGGCCTCCGTGTAAGTTGTGTGTCGTTTTTTAAAATGGCGCTTTAAGCGTTAGCATCCTTTTTTCACTTTCAGTCACACAGCGGAGGGGCTGCCATAAGCCATTCTTGTACTTAATACTTTTTTACGAAGTTCTTAGATCGGGAAAGCTTGCTTGCCGAGGCCACGCGGGACACGAGCCAGGCGAAGCAAGCGGGAAAAGGCACTACAGGCGGCGCGGATGGCTGAAGTGGCAGCTCTGTGGCGTGAGTGTGAGTCCCGACAGCCCGCGGTGCAGGTCCCCGCAGGCGTGGAGGGGAGAAAGTTCACATGGGGCCTTGAGGTAGCCGGTGTACTGAGAATGTGGCCGTCAGCAGGGCAGGTAGGGCCGCTTGGTGTTTAGGATTATAGGGTTCAAAGAAGCAAGGAGGCGCCTGGTTAAAGCAGGAAAGGCTTCCATTAAGGATAGGGCAGCATGCCGGGGAAAGTAGGATTCGCACTGGACAGCAAGCCGGGGTCTGAGACTGCCCACCACGCAGAGGGCAACAGTCTGGGAATCTGAGACTGCCCACCACGCAGAGGGCAACAGTCTGTTTATATTGCTGACTCTTGGCAGGGGGACATTCCCCCACAAGGAGGGTCGGAACAGGGAGAAGACCCCCTTGACAGGTGTTTAATGAAGTCAACAGTTTATGTTCTTATCAGCTTGGGATGTCCCAGCCAGCAGAATCTTAGGCCATATAAAATTCCTTCTTGGCGTCTCAAGGATCATGCTTATTTGGGGCTCACTTTACCAGGTGTTAACTGTTTGTATCCCAACAGCCGAGCAAGCCCTAACAGGGCTTTGGTCATAATTTATTTTACAAGATTGCCCTGGCCGGCACTCTGTGGCACAGCAGGTTAAGATCCCAGCCTGCAGAGACTGTATCCCATATGGGTGCCAGTTCCTCTACTTCTGATCCAGCATCCTGCTAGTGCGCCTGGAAAAGCAGCAGAGGATGGCCCAAGTCCTTGGGTCCCTGCACCCATGTGGTAGATCCAGGGGAGGCTCCTGGCACCTGGTCTCAGATCAGCTCAGCTTTGGCTGTTGTGGTCATTTCCAGCCGATGGAAGATCTCTCTCTCTCTCCCTCCCCCCCCCCTTTCTGCTTCTGTAACTCTGTCTTTCAAATAAATAATCTAAAAAAAATTGCCCTGGGGGTTGGAAGTGGAATCGGACAAGATCCCCTAAATATTACACTGAAATGTGGCCCTTTAAAATTCCATAGAATTGCTATCTGGGATGCCACATGTACTACCAGAATTTGGGGTGCCATATGATTTCATCACGGGCTTATAACTAAATCCCCAATATTAATAAGCCCAAGAGGGTTCTTGCCTAATATTTAGAGAAGAATTCTAAATACCGGCACAGGTAAACGAGGCAGCATGGTATGTTTTAAGCTTTTATTTAGTGCAAGAGGCATCTAGGAAAGTGAAGGCTTTAGTTCAGATAGGAGAGAGGGGAAAGTCTGGAAACTAGGGTAGCGTCCATACCACTCAGAGAGCAGGCCAAAGCCACGTGCAGCAAGCACCTTGAGCTGCTATCCACCGCTTATCACCGGCAGCACCGCAGAGGCAGAGAGCCTTTTGCGACACTCACTGTCTATATACATTTTCCACAGGGGCGTGGCTTGTGGCCAGGTGGGCGCTCAGGTATGGTCAGGTAGAGCCTGATGTCACATGGGGGCGTAGTGGGGGTATCTGGTAGAGTGTTAGGTCACACAGAGGGAAGGCGAAGGTATCAGGTTGGGCGTGAAGTCACACAGGGGCGTGGCGAAGGCGTGGTCTTCCAGCTCACAAATCTAACCAATTTTAGCCTGCATGCCTGCCTGCTTCATTCCCCCCTCAGAGACTCCAGACCTTAATCTTAAGGGGATGTTGATGCGCATCGAGTCACCATCTTCTGTAGCTACTTCCTGCTTATTAGGGGCGTAGACCCTGCCTGTTTTCGGTCCGGAAGTCTCTGCCTATCTCATCTAATGAGTTAGCTTCATGAGCTGGGGCTCTTTCAGTCACCGCCATCCTGCATGTCCTTATTCTCAGAAGCTGTTGGGTTCTGAAACATATAAGTTTGTCATTCACCATGAGAAGATTGGAATAGCCCCAAGTGCTACTGGTGTGCCCCTTAAGATAGAAAAAACGTCTAGCCATCTCCCAGACAGTAGGTGGTGGGAGATTTCCGCTATGCAAACTATAAAACCATTTAGCTTGAGCATAGAGGGCTTTGATGTCCTTTTCTGAGAACATACTATTATTTGAGTAAAGGCGGCAGATCCCCGTGAGCACTGCACACATGCCCCCTTGTTCTGTTAACATGAACTCTAAGACCTGTCTATCGTCCATAACTACCCTGGACAGGGAGTGTACCGAAATCAGAGCCTGCTGCAGAAGCCGTCCTGAAGTGTAGGCCAGATTACCCACAGCTAAGGTCAGGTTCTTAAAGTCGGTTCTGAAAAACTCTTCTGGGCTGTCGTTCTTTGTCACTGAGGAACCCACCAAGGAGTCCTTCTGCCAATAATAGCACCCAGAAAGGACCAAGAGAGATATGTACATCAGGTGGGCACTGAATTGCAGCATTTTGTTGTGGCTAGAACAAGAGTTCTACTTATTTTTCTGCCTTTTGAAGAGGTATTTTAGATCTTCAATTGGCTCACAGGAATAAGCTGATGTATCTGTTGGATCCACCTGTGGAAACTCAAGAGGTAGAGGTTTAATCCTTGACAAATGTACCCAGCTTGGGACTCCCTGTAATTTTACTGACGTAGGAGTGCTCAATAGTACTCGGCAGGGCCCCTTCCACTGGGGCTGTAACTGGTCTGAGGGAGACCCTTCCTTCCAGGTCTTTAATAAGACCAAGTCCCCTGGGGAGACAGGCTGCTCATGAGCCTCGGGGTCTGGTGCCAGAAGGACCTTGTTGCCATACTGTACTAGAGCCTTCTGTATCTGGCCTAAGTTGATAATGTACTTTATTTGACCTTGCCCAAGAGCAGAAGGTGAAGGGTTGTAGACCCTCTCTTCCTAATTCATTTGTGCAAAATATTTTTGAGGTTTGTTTTGTGTGTTTCTGGGAGTTTGTGGCCCTTTCCTCCATTTATGTAGTTGAAAGTGAAAACAGTGCTAAAGTATAAAATGTAATTTTTAAATGGCATATCATTTATGTGTGTGCTATATTTAGAAAGCCATCTATGAGTATTTATGATTTTTTTCTCATTCCCTCTGGTCTCTACAAAAGTATGTCCCAAGTGTTGCGTGAGACTTATAGAGGCAGAGAAAAATACACCGTGTTCGCATGGTTTAAAACTTAATGAGGACTGGGGGAGACAAGCAAGGAAGCAGTGAACTAACACTATGCATAATTAAACTGATGCTGTAAGGATCGATAGCAGAGAGGACTCTGGGAGGAGTAATTAATCCTGGGAGCAGGAGCAGAGTGAAGATGGGAGAGGTTTCACAGAGGAGCAGCCTCTGAGCCAGCCCTGAGGATGTAGAATTTGGTCCGTTGGGTGATGGGGGCCTGGGGGTTCAGGAAGCACTTGGAAGAGGATCAGCCACATGGCAGGTCCTCAAGAAAGGTTAACAGTTGTGTGTCAAGCACTGAGCAATCAGCAGACTAAGCTGTTCTGTTAGGGGCAGGGGATGGGGTAGAAGAACAGACAGCAGGCAAACAAGAAGTGATCAGAAAGTGGCCAGAGTGATACATGAAATGCAAAGCTTCCTTCTGCCCAACTGCATTTATCTCCAGTCTTGGATTCTGTCAAACGTTTTCAGTTCTGCACTTCTTTCCTAACCCTTGCCCTGACCTCTAATTGAAACCTAATCCATTTTCTACTTTTACTGAAGATGTCATTTCATCCAGGAAGGCTTATAGACCTTCCTCCACCAAGACTAAGTTGGAGATTGGGCTCCTGTTTCTGTAGAACTTCTTTCCCACTCAAGGTGTTGTCACATCAGGTCTTAATTGCTTATTTACAACTAATGATAAGAACGTGAGATCATTAGCAGATATTAGGGAGGAGTAGGATTGTGGTGTTCTGGCAATATAAAGTCAATATATGCAGCTTCTCAGTCAAATCTTCCAAGCCCTCCTTGATTTAAAAATAATTTTTACTAAATATTTATCTCCAAAGAGACTAATACAGACTTCTTCTCTTTCCTTTTTGTACAAAAAGCCCAAAAGCAAACATGACAAATGTGACCTAACTACAATATAATTAAACATTTAGAAAAAAATTTTTATTTACTTGAAAGGCAGAGTGACAGAGAGATTGATCTTCCATCTACTAGTTCACTCCCCAAATGGCTGCAGCAGGCTGGCCCAGGCTGAAGCCAGGAGCCAGGAACTCCATCTGTGTCTCCCACATGGGTGGCAGGGGCCTAAACACTTGGGCCATGTTCTGTTTTCCCAGGCCATTAGCTAAGTAGT